TACCACTTGCACCGGCACAAAACAACTTGGACCCGTCCGTATATGTTGCACCAGTTTTTCATGGATGGAACAAACCTCTCAAACATATTATAATATGACTGGCCCCATAGGTATTAATTTGCGGACACACAAGTAATATAATAAATAAGAAAAAGATGGCGCATCAACCTAGTGCATTATCCTAAGGATTTTTATTATAAAATCAGTACAATTTCTTCTCACATGCATAAAAGTGAAAAACGCACTTCAAGTCACACATCCATGTTCAGATACAACATCTTTCCAGACCTAGGGGGGGTCTCACCGGGGTCCCTGAAGGCTGACACGTTTAGAAGGATGTCCTTCTTCCTAAGAGGCTCTGAGGAAGAAGTACATCCTTCGAAACGCAGCAGTATTCAGGGACCCCGGTGAGGCCCACTAGGTCTGGAAGACTGTTGTATCTTAGTCAGAGCTCCTGCCTACCCCATACACTGTGCAATAAAAATGAATGAACTCCCTACACAAGGCTTCAAGCCTTAACAGTTTATAGACCAAGAGGACAACAGCTAATAAAAAAAACAGTCTTCTAATCTGTTTTTGATTAAAGTTTTTTTAAAGGTTCAAGTTTTCCTTTTTTTTAAAATAACAAACATGTCATAATTACCTGCTCTGTGTAATGGTTTTGCACAGAGCAGTCCTGATCCTCCTCTCCTGGAGTGCCACACTAGCACTCCTAGCTCCTCCTCTTCTTTGTTTGCCCCATAGGCAGCCACTTGCTATGGGGTCACTCCAGGGGCGGACTGACAACTCATGGGGCCCCCGGGCAATAGGGGATCATGGGGCCCCTGGGCAATAGGGGATCATGGGGCCCCTGTGTCTTGCCCAAACTCAAAAAAGCCTATGAAAAAGGTACCAGGGGCATCTCATGGGGCCCCCCACTAACCCTGGACCCTCAGGCAGTACCCGAGTTTCCAAATGGTCAGTCCGCCCCTGGGTCACTCATGGGGTCCCAAGCTGGGCTGCATTCATCTGTTGACAAGCACAGTGCGGCTCGACCCAGCCCCTGCTCCATACTCACAGCATTTGATTGACAGCAGCAGGAGCCAATGGCTCCTGATGCTGCTTCTGAGTCCTGTGAGGAGAGAGAGAGCAGCTCTGGATTGAGATTGGACTCAGGTATGTATTTAGGAGGGGCTGTGTGGGGGGGAGCTGATCATGAAAGGTTTTTTTTACCTCAATGCAGAAAACACCTTTAACCTTTACAACCACATAAATAATCTGTTGGAGCCACATTCAATAGTTTTGTGGATTTTATGGCAAATGTTTGTGAACATCTGACCATAACACCTCTGTGGGCTTGTTGGTCATCCAATTTCTATGTCAGCATACAATTGGGATCCATCGGCTGCCCTGCAGCATTATGAACACAGGGGATGGCTTGCCCAGCACAGGCACCATTCAGGAACACTTTGCATTTTCTCAATGAATGGTTGCTGACATGATCTCCATTTTGTCCAATCAAAGAACACTTTGCAATAATTGAGAAAATACAAAGTATTCTCTGATTGGTGCCCCTGTCAAATGGATGAGCTCCTATGTTCAGTAAGCAACAGAGTAACTGACCAGCACAAGACCTGGAAGCTAGTAGAGATCACTGTGGTACCATTGGATACGACAGTGATTTCCAGATCCTACAGGGATCTCAAAAGTATGGTATATGCATACTTACGTTGGTCCAAGTTGGACCGGTATAGTCATGTAAAAAGTGCCATGCTTAGACCTGATTCACATATTTGCGGTGCAGGAAACGCAGCGAATCCTGAGTGTTTCCAACACCCTATTGAAGTTGCACTCCGTTCATGCGATCCGCCACTAGTGTCAATATTAAATTAATGACACCCCAAAAGAGATCGCAAACCATAGTGCAATTGCAAGAACCGATTCAGATGCGTGTTCACGCCCATGCCATCAGATTCTGGTGCAGGAAAATAAAAGGTTCCTGTACCTTTTCGTGCAGGTGCGGTGCAAATTGTGCCCATACAAAATGAATGGACTCAAATCGTACTGCATGTGATTTGAACAGGAATGTGGTGCATTTCCTATCCGAATCGAATGTGATTTCCCTGCACTGCTATCATGTGAATCCACTCTTAAACATCACTTTTGCAATGTAAAATTAACCTCTACAATCAGTAAATAACTTGAATGTATAATAATTAGGAATGAAATGCTCATAGCAAAGTTTGCCACAATATGGGAAACCATAAAACTTAAGTTTTATATTCAAAACAGATTTTTATTGCCCTTTTGCAAACACATCGTTGTGAGAACTATTCGGTATATAGAACACATAATGATGGTAAGGTATTTTTTCGTAACCTGTTTTCATTTTAAAGACTGTAAATTGTTAGCATGCCTGCTCAATGACAAATTAATTAAATGTAATCCATTGCAAATGTAGCTGGGTGGCCTGTACAGTTTGAGTTATTCCCATTAATGTATAGTTTTACTGGGCATTCCATATATGGCTGTGGAAGGTCATTGTTTAGAGGGCAGCTCATAAAGCTGTCTAACCTAGAATTTACTGCTAGAAGGTTTTCCAATCCTGAAAATGGTCATGCCCAGGACTCACGTGTATTACTTGCTGTAGAGAAGAATGCTACACTGAAATTCTGGGAGAATAATGGGCAGAGTTGATGCCGGTAACTGACGTTCAAACACTAGCTTTTAAAAAGGAGAACTTCTTCAAATTCCACCCATACAATGAACTAGAAGAGTACAGAGCTAAGTCATATTTCCCTTTTGAGCTCAACCCCCCCAAAATGTCAAAACCATTCGGCAACTTGTGCATGATGATCATTGAAGAACAATCCACAACATTGCCGCCATTGTCGGTATGTCATACGGAACAGTCCAGGCAATCCTCACGTGTGATTTGAACATGTGCCGTGTTGCTGCCAAGTTCGTTCCCAGGATACTGACCCAGGAGCGGAAAGAACGCCGTGTCGAAGTCTGTCAAGAGCTCCATCAGTGTGCCTTGGATGACCTGTCCTTCATGTTGAGGTTCATTATCGATGATGAAACTTGGATGTATGAGTTTCATGCAGAATTACATGTTTGCTTTTTGTTCCAACTTGCTGTCCATGATGAAATAGCATGTGGTCAGAATAGCACCAGTTGCACAGCTCCTGATGTACACAGGACAATGTCTTTTGGCACGCTGATTTAAGGTTGGTGCTCCCTGTGACTGTACGTGCAGCTTTGTGCTGCCATCTGTTGGCGTTTTAGAAAACTATCCCAAAAACCTTTTGATACCACCTTGTATAATAACTACTTACCTTTCCTTCTGCTTGAGTTACTGAGCGTCGCTCTAATACTAAGAAATGGTCCCCTGAAGTCTGATGGAAAACCTACACTTCCAGTGGTGTCAATCTTCTGGGTCCCTCTTAGCTCTCACTGGTTGCTCCTGATGATCCTGACTTCATTACAGGAGACAGTGGTAGAGTGATGGTCAGCAAGAGGAACCATTGAGAGCTTTGAGGGACTCATGAGATTGCCTTGTGCATGAGTCATACTTGAGTGGACAGCTTGAGGTAGTGAATACGGTTAAAGCCGGCCATAGACAGTTATTTATTTATTTATCTTTGTTAGGCCGGGGGGCCTAACAAAAATAAAAAGACATAACAGATTCCTCCATCTGTACAAAAGAGGTGGATAGGTGAATTCCCCCATCGGGACATTGCTTCTGACAGCACGACTCATCGCTATCAGAACACTGAGCAGTGGCTGTAGTTGGTGGTTACCAAAAGTTTCACAGAATGTCCCTTTGACAGAAATTGATCAAAAAATTGACTTCTGTCAAGCAACGATGGCCACACACTGATTGCAATTCATCCAGGCTGTGTTGAACTAGCTGAATTTCGATTATTGTATGACCAGCTTTACTCGTAGGAATCAACTGAAGTCACCGTGCACATGTGCAGTAAAAAGAAGACCCAACAAGGACCTTTTTGCTGCAAATGTTGTACTGTGGCAGGATACGGAAAAAAGGTCACTGGAGCAGGGAGGAAGGTGTCACGTACCTTGTAGAGGCTGAACTGATGAGAGGGCTCTCCCATACAGCTCCCATCCTGTTTGTCCCCTGAGATTGATGATAGGGTAGGATAGGACATAGAGTGGCAAGGGCACCTGTAATAAGTCCTGGCCAGCAGAAGAACTGGATCTTTCAAGGACGTAGAAGCTGAGGAACAGAAACTTGTGCAGGATGTCATCACAGAGCTTGTAGAAGCAGGAGGTAAGAACGAAGTCAAACAGGAAGAAGTTGGCAATGGGCGGGCAGCAGAAGTGCAGATTCATAAGATGAGAGCATATATAGGAACCAGGCCGAGGTCAGTTTACAGGGGCAGAAGATGAGCCGAAGTTCATAAGCAAGGTGAAGAGCCAAGAAATAGGTTAAAGGTTGGGTATCAGAGGAACCAATATCAGGCGTAGTCAGAAGGCAAAGCTGGACATAACACAGGAACAAGAACGGTCTGGTCACAAGTCACAGAAGATGACAACTATTCAGAAACCGTCCTGAGTCTTGCAGTTCTTTAAATAGACCACTGGGTGCCAAAGTCCATTCATAGTTACATAGTTAGTCTGGCCGAAAAAACACAAAAGTCCATCCAGCTCAACCAATAAAAAAAAAAGTTATAATCCTATACCCACAGTTGATCCAGAGGAAGGCAAAAAACCCAGCACAGCATGATCCAATTTGCTCCTGCAGGGGAAAATAAATCCTTCCTGATCCCCCCGAGAGGCATCGGATATTCCCTGGATCAACTTTACCTATAAATATTAGTAACCAGTTATATTCTGTGTATCCAAGAAAGAATCCAGGGAATCCATTCAAATGTGTTTGCTGTGAGCACATTCAAGTGCAGATGCGCACACTGTCCTTTGCATTCTGTGCATACTGAACGTGCCCTCAGGGTCCATATGAGTTGATGTTGTAATTTCAATTTGTACGATGGCTTGACATGGTGTTTTGTGTTGCAGCACACTGCAGTGGAGAGTGTGTGCATGGTCGATGCGTGGCACCCAATCAATGCCAGTGTGAGCCAGGTTGGCGAGGAGGAGACTGCTCAAGTGGTAAGTAATTGTGTCATTACCCACAGACTGTGTATTATTAATGTCTCCTCCTCCTACGCCCGATTGCAGGACTTCTCCAGGACTTCCCCCATCCTCTGGAACTCCCTACCCCAATCAATCAGACTGTCACCTACCCTCCTCACCTTCAGGCACACCCTGAAAACCCTCCTCTTCAGGGAAGCCTACCCCAACCTCACCTAACACCCGACCTCACCTAACAACTAACCTCCTCCACTTCTCCCACCACTCCATCCCCCACAGCCATCTCCTCCTGTACCACCTTCCCCTCCCTCCTAGATTGTAAGCTCAAAAGAGCAGGGCCCTCGAACCCCTCGTGTATTGTATTGTTACTGTCTTGTCTCATGTTCTGTCCCCCTTGCTACTGTACAGCGCTGAGCATACCCTTTAGTGCTATATAAATACTGTATAATAATAATATAATAAATATAAAAAGAATTCCCATTCTAAGCAATATGGTAACTTATATTTATGAAAAGTTCTGATGCAAACGTTGAGTAAATTAAAACTAGCTGCAATTTATACAAATTATGTTGTGTATTTTTCCTACAGTGTGAGAAAATGTAGTTATTACTGATGGAAAAAATTCATTTAAAACCTATAAACCCAAATATTACTAATTACAGCAGTGTCAGAAGTTTTATACATTGCTATTGGTTGAGTGGTGCTGGGAGATGATGGAGGGAGGGTTTGAACCTGTGGCTGGGACAGGCATCCCTCTGAATATTCCCAGGCACAGATCGCCCTTGGGAATAGCTCTTCACATCAGGATCGTTTTAGATCAGTAAATAAATATGTTCTCAGAAAAACACTTAAGTCTGTTCTGCAACAGCCACATCATCTGTATCCCAGTATATGGTAAATATAATCAGTAACGGCATGAGTCTTAACTAAACAAACATGACTTGAATATTATTACAGACAAATGCAATTGAAATTGTGTGTAATCAAGAACGGTCTGAAGAAAAAGGCAATCTATTTCCATTCGTTGTTAAGAATTAATACTGTCCATAGAGGTATAAGTCAGAAAAATTCAATCTGTCAAGTGACTGCCAATTACTTACGGAGCTAAAATCAGTCTTGATCTTCTAAGTAAACTATGGGGTCTATTTGTCAATGTTTTCCCCAAAATTCATATAACTTTCACCAAAGATTCATACATTTTCCAAATCAAAATTTATTTCCAAATCATAAATGTATCCAAATGTATTTTTAATCCAATTAAAACTATGTATGTATCTTGGGTAAAATCAATGATAAGTAGATCCTTATTATGTTCACGATTTGATAATAAAATTCTGTGGACCCTAACAGGATTGGAGAAAGTCATAACCCCAAAGCACTGAATTCAGAACTGCTGCTGAATCCTTTTTTATAGTCATCATCTTGTTCCATTAATCTTCAAGTGGAGCTTCACCCAAAACCTGAAGTGTTTCTTATCCTGTATCCCCCCAGACATTTTTTGGGGGAGTGGGTACCTTTTTTTGACAGTTACCCACTCGTACTTCTTCAATCCTTGAATAGGCAAGAATGATGTCAGTGTGACCTTCCCTCCTCCCCTTCCCGTAGCCACCCAGGACAGGTCACACAAATCTGTAGGACCAGTCTTGGTGCGCCAAGTGATCTTGCGCATGTTCTGTGAGGAGCCAGCTGTGTGAAGTCAGGAAGCCACAGCTGGCTCCCACTTCCAAGATGGAGGCACCAGGGATCTAAAGTTGGGTGAAGAATCAGCTGCAGGGAAAGCAGTGCTGTACTCCATGGGCTGGTTATATCTGTTTGTTAAAGATCAGAAGCTACAGTACTTCTAATTTTTAAGAACCCTAAAGTTCCTCTTTAAAGCGGAGCTCCACTTAAAAGGGGAAGTTCTGCTTTAAACCTTTGTCCCTTGCTCCCTACTAAGGATTGGCACCTTTGGGGAGCGGGGGAGGGGCGGGTACCCGAATTTGACAGGTACCCGCTCCCACTTCCGCTGCGATCGCCTAGGTGATCAGAAGCAGAAGTTGTCCTCCCCCTTTCCTCCTGTAGTCTTTTGGGACATGTGACAGGTCACAGAAGGCTACGGGGCCATTCACAAAGCGCAACGCTTCTCCTGCATGCGCAGTGAGCACCCGGCTGTGAAGCCGCAAGCTGTCACATCCGGGTGCCCACACTGAGGATGCCAGCACCAGGGAGAGAAGACGGTCTGTGAAACCAGCGGTGGAGAGGACACCACTGGACCAAGGGACTGGTAAGTGTCTGTATTTTAAGTCAGCAGCTACATTTTTTGTTTTTTTTTTCTTGGGAGCGTGCGTGTGATCAGCACAGGGCCAATCAGCTCTGTCCAGACAGAGGTCAGAGGTTCTGCATCCTCCTAGAGCAGAAAGAAAACTCCTCCTACAAGCTTTAACCAGTGCTCAGCCAGACACTGATAGAAGTCACAAGACTGCTCTAACTGCTGATGAGAAAAAGTATTTAGCAGTTTATATTTACTAAAATAATTGCATTTCCATGTTCTCTGCACTGTGGGAGACCAGATATAGTGAATGCAGGGTCCTGGGACACCAGATATAGTGAATGCAGGGTCCTGGGAGACCAGATATAGTGAATGCAGGGTCCTGGGAGACCGCATATAGTGAATGCAGGGTCCTGGGAGACCAAATGTAGTGAATACAGGGTCTGGGGAGAGTGGATATAGTGAATGCAGGGTCCTGGGAGACCAGATATAGTGAATGCAGGGTCCTGGGAGACCAGATATAGTGAATGCGGGGTCCTGGGAGAACAGATATAGTGAATGCAGGGTCCTGGGAGACCGCATATAGTGAATGCAGGGTCCTGGGAGACCAGATATTGTGAATGCAGGGTCCGGAGAGAGTGGATATAGTGAATGCAGGGTCCAGGGAGACCAGATATAGTGAATGCAGGGTCCTGGGAGACCAGATATAGTGAATGCAGGATCCTGGGAGAGCAGATATAGTGAATGCAGGGTCCAGGGAGACCAGATATAGTGAATGCAGGATCCTGGGAGAGCAGATATAGTGAATGCAGGGTCTGGGGAGACCAGTTATAGTGAATGCAGGGTCTGGGGAGACCAGATATAGTGAATGAGGGGTCCGGGGAGAGCGGATATAGTAAATGCAGGGTCCGGGGAGACCAGATATAGTGAATGCGGGGTCTGGGGAGAGCGGATATACTAAATGCAGGGTCCGGGGAGACCAGATATAGGGAATGCAGGGTCCGGGGAGAGCGGATATAGTGAATGCGGGGTCTGGGGAGACCGGATATAGTGAATGCGGGGTTCGGAGAGAGCGGATATAGTGAATGTGGGTCTGGGAAGAACGGATATAGTAAATGCAGGGTCCGGGGAGACCAGATATAGTGAATGCAGGGTCCTGGGTTTACTAACACTTTAATTGCATGAGCCTTAAACATTCAAACATGTACAATATCATTCTGATATTGAGTGATTGAAAACCTGTGGAAAATATCATTATGCTAATAATGTGCAAAAGCAGATTATTTTTTTTTTGTGCTGTGTGATGTAACATAAAAAGGAAAAAAAAAAAAGTTCACCTAAGTAAAAAACCAAACTTTTACTTTGAGCTTTACCATTTTACTGTGTTTCATAAACATCACTTATGTGATATTGTTTTAATCAGAAGACTTTGCCCATCATACTTACTGGGCCACATGTCCTAGGGTGCTATGGCCACCAGTGGCAGCACATAATTACCCAAATCACTTTATATTTATACTAGATACTTCTACTTTTAGACTCACAGAGCCTGTCGGGCAGACCTCTAAATTCCCCTTCCTCTGAACACTTTTTTCATATCTGGCTCCCTTGCCCACCAGCAGCCCAACTACATCTCCAGCTATGTCTGCTCTCACAACCCCACTTCCTGCTCTGTGAAGGAGTATAACCCTCCGTGGACAGCAACATTGCGTTTCTGCAAATCCAAAGGAAAGGTGCCTGTCCAAAGCCCCTGTTCTGGTTCAGGTGCCATCCATAGTAGCTGCAAACCAAAGAGAACCCCACCTCTGCTACGTATCACTTTCATCAAGCCGAAAACCAGGTCGCACTCTGATGCTGTCACTCATAAAAAAAATTTTGACCAGCACAGACACACAAAGCGTCATCTCCTGTAGAGTATCATTTCACCTAGTGCAGGCTTATTTGTAGAAATAGACTCTTTGGGGTTTATTTACTAAAACTGGAGAGTGCAAAATCTGGTGTAGCTGTGCATGGTAGCCCATCAGCTTCTAACCTCAGCTTGTTCAAGGACAATAAAACCTGGAAGCTGGTTTCTATACAGAGCTGTACCAGACTTTGCAATCACCAGTTTTAGTAAATCAACCTCAATGTGTGTGTGCTGGTCAGATAGTTTTATGAGTGTTGGTATCAGAGGACGATCCTGTTTTCGGCCTGGTGAGATTGTGTTTTCTATGAACACGTTTCTGATTACGTCAATACAGTGTTTACCATGCCTCTGCAGATCCATTTTCTGATTGTGTCGGGAAACAGCAACCAAGCTATTGTTAGGGATAGGGGTTGGCTAGAAGAATAAAAAGTCTAATCTGATTCTGTTTGGGGTAAATATCTGTGGCTAAAAGTACTTATGTGAAAGTAGCATTGGGAAAAATAACTTTTTTCATTTTTCCTTGAAAAACCTGAAAGAAAAAAAATACAGTCAGGACCATAAATATTGGGACATTGACACAATTCTAACATTTTTGGCTCTATATACCACCACAATGGATATGAAATGAAACAAACAAGATGTGCTTTAACTGCAGACTGTCAGCTTTAATTTGAGGGTATTTACATCCAAATCAGGTGAACGGTGTAGGAATTACAACAGTTTGCATATGTGCCTCCCACTTGTTAAGGGACCAAAAGTAATGGGACAATTGGCTTCTCAGCTGTTCCATGGCCAGGTGTGTGTTATTCCCTCATTATCCCAATTACAATGAGCAGATAAAAGGTCCAGAGTTCATTTCAAGTGTGCTATTTGCATTTGGACTCTGTTGCTGTCATCTCTCAAGATGACATCCGAAGAGCTGTCACTATCAGTGAAGCAAGCCATCATTAGGCTGAAAAAAACAAAACAAACCCATCAGAGAGATAGCAAAAACATTAGGTGTGGCCAAAACAACTGTTTGGAACATTCTTAAAAAGAAGGAACGCACCGGTGAGCTCAGCAATACCAAAAGACCCGGAAGACCACGGAAAACAACTGTGGTGGATGACCGAAGAATTCTTTCCCTGGTGAAGAAAACACCCTTCACAACAGTTGGCCAGATCAAGAACACTCTCCAGGAGGTAGGTGTATGTGTGTCAAAGTCAACAATCAAGAGAAGACTTCACCAGAGTGAATACAGAGGGTTCACCACAAGATGGAAACCATTGGTGAGCCTCAAAAACAGGAAGCCCAGATTAAAGTTTGCCAAACGACATCTAAAAAAGCCTTCACAGTTCTGGAACAACATCCTATGGACAGATGAGACCAAGATCAACTTGTACCAGAGTGATGGGAAGAGAAGAGTATGGAGAAGGAAAGGAACTGCTCATGATCCTAAGCATATCACCTCATCAGTGAAGCATGGTGGTGGTAGTGTCATGGCGTGGGCATGTATGGCTGCCAATGGAACTGGTTCTCTTGTATTTATTGATGATGTGACTGCTGACAAAAGCAGCAGGATGAATTCTGAAGTGTTTCGGGCAATATTATCTGCTCATATTCAGCCAAATGCTTCACAACTCATTGGACGCCGCTTCACAGTGCAGATGGACAATGACCCAAAGCAGACTGCAAAAGCAACCAAAGAGTTTTTTAAGAGAAAGAAGTGGAATGTTATGCAATGGCCAAGTCAATCACCTGACCTGAATCCGATTGAGCATGCATTTCACTTGCTGAAGACAAAACTGAAGGGAAAATGCCCCAAGAACAAGCAGGAACTGAAGACAGTTGCAGTAGAGGCCTGGCAGAGCATCGCCAGGGATGAAACCCAACGTCTGGTGATGTCTATGCATTCCAGACTTCAGGCTGTAATTGACTGCAAAGGATTTGCAACCGAGTATTAAAAAGTGAAAGTTTGATTTATGATTATTATTCTGTCCCATTACTTTTGGTCCCTTAACAAGTGGGAGGCACATATGCAAACTGTTGTAATTCCTATATCGTTCACCTGATTGGGATGTAAATACCCTCAAATTAAAGCTGACAGTCTGCAGTTAAAGCACATCTTGTTCGTTTCATTTCAAATCCATTGTGGTAGTGTATAGAGCCAAAAATGTTAGAATTTTGTAGATGTCCCAATATTTATGGACCTGACTGTACATGTAACGAAATGTACTACGAAATTAAAGCCTGGTCTGTCCCAGAAAAAAAAAACAAATAATATGTTCCTTTACAATACAAAAGATAAAAGTTATGAGTTGTGGAATTAGAACAATTTCATTGAGAAGGAAAAAATGTTCTGGGTAAAAAGGGAAGGAAAATACTCTGGCAAAGAAGTGGTTTAAAGGAAAGTCGAAAACCTTTACAGTGCCGGGACAAGATCTTCTGGCCTGCAAAACAAGTAGGCGAAAGTGGATGAGGGAGGATTGTGACATGGTTTAAATCAGTGTGTTTTAGTCATGACGAGCTTGTTTTTGAAACACAGCCAGGTTTCCATCAACATTATTATACCAAAAATTTGTTCTTCCATCTGTGAACTAAAGTAGTTTGTAACTCTTGAAAAGTTCAAATTGTATTCTGTGATGAGTTCTTCTTATAAATAATGATGTTTCTGGTACAAGGCATTTTTGATTTGGTGATACAAAAATGAACAAATATAAAAAATGGGGGGGTTGAATGAGTTTATAAAAAATAATTAGGGTTCATCAGTTAAGTGCTTAAATTTTGTGGAAATTTTGTAAGAAGGCCAAACTGTACCACTGTAATCTGCAGGACCGAGCTACTGTTGGGTGATGTAGAAGAGACAGAAGAGACCTTTCTCCCCACTTGCACTACTCCCATCCCAGCAGCTAAGGCAAATGCTTTTTTGACATGTCTTTTCCCAGCCTTGGTTGAAAAATAGTCATATGTACTTGTAATTAATTTGGTCAATGTATCATTGCTGAGTCATCATGGGTAGAACAGCATAAGAAGATAGGCAATTTTCACAATAAAAGTGAGCAGCACTATACTGGTGACACCCTTCCCTCTCTCCTTCCTCTGTGGCCACATGTATCTTTGCCTCCCTCCCATCAGTTTAAAGAGCAGAGGTTCTCAAAGCAAACTTGGTGACAAATCTGTATTAATCGAAAAAAAAGTGCACAAAAATACCTGTCATTCCTTGTGAGCTGATGACTTTCTGTGCTCTCTTCCTATGTTATGCTGTGTCAGTGAACATTGGTCGCAGGTCTTTCTTTGGTCTAGATAACACCCCCGTATTATAGAGATGAAGATAGGGGGAGGTGTCTTTTAGTCCTATCAAACTTCCAGGTCTAGGGTGACAACAATGCTCCTCCATAGATACAGTGTAGTGAGTGGGAGTATTAATCCTAGGACAGGAAATTTCGTTACTGATAGGATCCCCTAAATCCCCTAAATTTTTGTTCTTGGGTCGATGCGTGGCACCCAGTCAATGCCAGATATAATTTAAATGTATGCTTAAAGGTTCAGTTCACCCAGAGCTGTCACATCTGTTTTCCTTTGAAACATATTTTGAGAAACCCTTTAGAAGACTATGGATCATTAAAAAAGTGGCGCACAGACCCATGACGGGTCCTGCTGTTTTCCCCAAATTCTATTCCCTAGTGGTAGCAAGCAGCCAGGTACATGGTAGTTTCCCAGTTTCTCTCCACCCAAGAACCAGGCAGGAGGTGTCTTTTTGAAATTTATTGCTTGAAGAACTTGGTTAGGGTGCAGGGTAAGCCTTGGGATACTACGAGTTTAGTGCAAATGGAATGGAGAATACTCTCTGACTATGGCTGTCTCTTCAAGGTGAAACCCCTCTTGAGGCTAGTGATGAGTGAACTGTGGCTCAGGGGACTGCAATGCAAAAGCAAATTTGAATCAGCAAGTCTGGGGAAGTCTCTTCAAGAGTAACAAGGATAGTCTCTAGGATCTAGTACAGGCTTCTACTCACTGTTCCCTGGGTATTTGAATGCTTTTCTGAAGTACCAGACAGCTACTGTACAGTGTGCCTCCAGATCTTACTGCGAACTGCGCCCAAGAACTTTGGACGTGAGTCCTCCAGCCAGGGGCAGACTGACTACTCATGGGCAATAGAGGATCATGGGGCCCCTGTGTCCTTACCCAAACTGAAAAAAGCCTATGAAAAAGGTACCAGGGGCATCTCATGGGGCCCCCTACTGACCCTGGGCCCTCGGGCAGTGCCCGAGTTTCCAAATGGTCAGTCCGCCCTTGCCTCCAGCTCTCCCTGAGCTGAGACCCAGGATGGCCTTTTCTAATCTTCAGCTATGTAACCCAAAGTGCCACAGTCCTCAGGCTGGGTCTTCTCCTACAGAACAAGGACTCTGCTGTTCTAGGCCTTAGCCTATTTATACACACCTCAGCCCCATTAACCGGTCACTCTTCCTACCAGGGATTTGCTAGGGCTGTATGAATATGTAAGTTAAGGGTCCGTGTCTTCCAATCCTCTAAATTCTGGAACTTACCAGAAACCAGGGGAAGCAGTCAAACCTTCAACCAGCAGAACCCAGAAAAGTCAAAAGCCATCAAACATTTTTCCACTGGCTACAGAGAAGCCAAAAAGTAAGTTTGCCTCAATACTATAAGCAATGTACGTAGCTAGGAGGGTGCTACATAAACAGTTTAGCTACTTCAGCAATTTACAATAATCTTTTATATTTCCAGCTTGTGACCCACATCTTTGGGGACCCAGATGTAACTATTCCTGTCATTGCCTAAACAATGGGATTTGTGATGCCATTTCGGGGTCCTGCATCTGCCCTCCAGGGTACAAGGAACCCTTCTGTGAGAAGCCATGTGAACCAGGCACCTATGGAGTGAACTGTTTACTGGACTGCCAGTGTAAGAATGGAGCCAGCTGTGACCCTCAGAATGGAACCTGTCTTTGTCCAGAAGGGTACACTGGACCTTAGTGAGTGTACAAATGCTTGATGTTTATTGCAAAAAAAAAACCCCCAAAACATTTTATAGTTGTGTTTTTTTATTTCTTAAACTGAACATATGCTGTATACTTTGGCAAATATCAGTATATCTGCATTTTTTTCCTTTCTTATGTATATATTAGTTCTTGTTTCTTGAGATCTTTCACCACCACCCTCTACACTCCCTCCTTACTCACTAGTCTCCACCCATATCCATGCTCCCCTCACTACTTGCATAGCTCACACACCTCACCACCTCAGTCCTTAATCCCAATCTATTTCTATTTATCCCCATACTTTTATATACAGAACATTTTGCAAGGAGTACAAGCCCCTTTTTTTACCTTAATGTATTCTATGCATTCTGTGCATGAAAGTAAAAAACCTTCTGTGTCACAGACTCACCCCGTCATCCCCCTTATACTTACCTGAGCCCATCATGATCCAGAACTGTGGCACTCCTGGTTGTGTCCTTCCTCACTGGGCAGATCCATTGGCTCCTGCTCCTGCTCCTGTCAATCAACTCCAGTGATAAGGGGCGGGACCGACTCCTGTTGTCTGTGTCAATGGACACAGCAGCGGAAATCGTGTCAATGGACACAGCAGCAGAAATCGGGAGTGAGCCCACATGAGTGCCCCCATGGGAATCGGCTTCCTACTGGGGGCACTGGCAAGAGAGGAGGATCCAGGAGCACGGGACCCGAAAAGAGGAGGATCAGGGCCACTCTTTGCAATTCTATTGCACAGAGCAGGTAAGTATAGACATGCTTGTTATTTTTTTTTTTCCTTTACAACCACTTTAAAACCATGTAGGAGACATATGGCGCCGCTCCAAGCCAGGAATCATAGGAAAGTAATCACCCAGCCAGTATAGGAAAATGGGAGCAGCAGCTGCTAGTGTTACAGAAACTGTGTGAGATCAAAACACCTAGCAGTTATTAAATACCCCCCCCCCCCCAAAAAAAAAAAAAAAACTGCTATCAGTTTAAAAAAAGTGATATAAAGTTCATTTGGGTACAGTGTTGCATGATGGAGTAGTTGTCAGTCAAACTATCACAGCACTGGAAACTCAAAAATAGAATGTAATGAAGGGGTATTGCAGACTAGTACTGACGTGGTTGAAGACTAACTTGCTTTAGTGCTGATATTTTAAGTTTATGTGGGAACAGTGGGATCAATCACCTCCATGTCTCTGTAACTCCAATGGTGGGATTTTGCTGCATTAAGCTGGTTTGGGTTATTGTAGCAGGATGCCACAGTTATTTATGAAAACCTTTATTAAAGGTAAACTATGATTTTTAAAATGTTTCAAATTGATTTTTTAAAAAAAATATATTTATTATGTTTGTGTTCTGCAAATAAACCTTTAATACATGAGAAATGGATCCTTGCACAAAGCAAATCTCACTTAAATCTCAGCTTGAGCTACTGAACTTGGTAAAAAAAAAATTGCATTTCAATAGACACAAGTATCAGTCCCTAAAAAACAGAGCCAAACAGGAGCCAAAAGCACATCAGTTGGCTCAGTAAGAGAAATTTGAATATATTTAATATATCATATAGCTGGCTAAAGAAATCAATATTTCTTTAAAACAAAATTTCTTCCCAATATAAATAAATAAAAAAATAGACAAAGCCCCAATACCTTCACTTTGGTTGGCTTTGCAATGACTGTGGCAATTGGGCAGAACTAGGATTTCAGGTAGGCTCATTCCACCACTGTAGTCCTTGAGAAAGTTTTGACCATGGAAACCACAGAGCCTGGAAACCTGAGATTAATATAATATAACTTGAGTGAAGCTGGCCATTCATTTTAAACAACTGTTTTTTCCTCCCTCAGTTGTGAGATCAGATGTACAGAGGTCCAACCATCCACGTTCCAATGTCCAGAGAACTGCCCCTGCCAGAGTGGAGGCATCTGTGACCAGGTCGTTGGAGAGTGCACCTGTCCACCAGGATGGATGGTAAGAACATAAAACCGTCATCACTTTATTTTTATTATTAAGGGTGTTTTTATATGGTGCCACAATCCCTCTAAAGCAACTTTCTACACAAAGGGCCAGTTTAGTGTCCTTCAGATTTTACAGGGGCCAGACTGTGGTCAGTGGGAGGAGAAAAAACTCTTAGATTGTAAGCTCCCAGGACCAGGCCCTCCTAACCCTCTTGTATCGAACTTTATTGTTGCTGTATTGTCTCCCGTTATATATTGTAAAGTGCTGAGCAAACTGTTGGCGCTATATATATCCTGTATAATAATAACAATAATAGTAGAAAATACCCCAGCATTAGGGGGAAAAGTACCACATCATTGGTATTAGTGGGAGGGATAGTGCCCCATCATTGGTATCAGTGGGGGGAAAAGTACCACATCATTGGTATTAGTGGGAGGAATAGTGCCCCATCATTGGTGTCAGTGGGAGGAATAGTGCCCCATCATTGGTATCAGTGGGAGGAATAGTGCCCCATCATTGGTATCAGTGGGAGGAATAGTGCCCCATCATTGGTATCAGTGGGAGGAATAGTGCCCCATCATTGGTATAAGTGGGAGGAATAGTGCCCCATCATTGGTGTCAGTTGGAGGAATAGTGCCCCATCAATGCTATCACTGGGAGGAATAGTGCTGCACAGGGGCGGACTGACCATTTGGAAACTCGGGGACTGCTCAAGGGCCCGGGATCAGTAGGGGGCCCCATGAGATGCCCCTGGTACCTTTTTCACAGGCTTTTTTGAGTTTGGGCCCCATGATCCCCTATTGCCCGGGGGCCCCATGAGTTGTCAGTCCGCCCCTGGTGCTGCATCATTGGTGTTAGTGGGAGGAATAGTGCCCTATCATTAATGTCAGTGGGAAGAATAGTGCCCCGTCAATGCTATCAGTGGGAAGAATAGTGCTCCATCATTGATATCACTGGGAGGAATAGTGCCTCATAATTGGTATTAGTGTGAGGGATAGTGACCCATCATTGGTGTCAGTGGGAGGAATAGTGACCCATCATTGCCGTCAGTGGGAGGAATAGTGCCCCATCAATGCTATCACTGGGAAGAATAGTGATCCATCATTGGTGTCAGTGGGAGCAATAGTGCCCTATCATTAGTGTCAGTGGGAAGAATAGTGCCCCATCAATAGTATCAGTGGGAAGAATAGTGCTCCATCATTGGTGTCATTAGGAGATATAGTGTCGCATCATTGGTGTCATTAGGAGGAATAGTGCCCCATCATTGGTATCAGTGGGAGGAATAGTGCCCCATCATTGGTATCAATGGGAGGAATAGTGCCTCATCATTGGTATTAGTGGGAGGAATAGTGATCCATCATTGGTGTCAGTGGGAGGAATAGTGCTCCATCATTGGTGTCAGTGGGAGGAATAGTGCTCCATCATTGGTGTCAGTGGGAGAAATAGTGCCCCATCATTAGTGTCAGTGGGAAGAATAGTGCTCCATCATTGGTGTCATTAGGAGGAATAGTGCCCCATTATTGGTATCAGTGGGAGGAATAGTGATCCATCATTGGTGTCAGTGGGAGGAATAGTGCCCCATCATTGGTATCACTGGGAAGAATAGTGCCCCATCATTGGTATCAGTGGGAGGAATAGTGCCCCATCATTAGTGTCAGTGGGAAGAATAGTGCTCTGTCATTGGTGTCATTAGGAGGAATAATGCCCCATCATTGGTATCAGTGGGAGGAATAGTTCCCCATCATTGGTGTCAGTGGGAGGAATAGTGCCCCATCATTGGTGTCAGTGGGAGGAATAGTGCCCAATTGTTTAAATCAGGAGTGGGAGGAATAGTGCCCCATCATTGGTGTCAATGGGAGCAATAGTGCCAAATCGTTTATATCAGTGGGAGGAATAGTGCCCCATCATTGGTGTCAATGGGAGCAATAGTGCCAAATCGTTTATATCAGTGGGAGGAATAGTGCCCTATCACTTCACCATGTTTTATGTATACTGTACAGGCATTATAATACAATAGGAATTTATTCTTGTTATTTATTAGTTGTCTAGGGGGCAAAAAGTATTAATTCAGTCCTGACAATATTGGAGTATGTCTGTCTAATGTGTGTTGAAATAGCCAGCTCCATCAGAAGTCTGTGTGAGAGGGTGACAACACAGGAGCACAACTGGAAGACAGAGTCAGAGTGTTGTCATGCTATAACAGGAAGTGTCTGAGCAAGGACCTTTATGGCAGGAGCGCCAGGTATAAGTTTTGTGAAAGCTGCAGATTTAAAAATACTAAAAATTGCTAAATCACATTAACATGTTAAAGCTATGAGATTTTAGTATACTTTAAAGGAAAGGCCCCTTGATGAGGGTTGATGCGCTATGTTTCTTTCTTGACTTTTGCGTTTCTTGTCCATTTTTAGCAATTTTAAAAAGGAAATTCTCCCCTATCTAGCTAATTTTTGATTCCCTGGTATGTAAATAAAAACAGATTCTAGTACATGGAGTCCTGCGTTGTGCTCCTTGTTCTTTGTCGAATCATGGGGGTCTTTAAAAAGCATCCACAGTGACTTCAAATAAACATTCATTATTTCATGCTATAATACACACTGAATATTTAGAATGTTTAGGATCTCATGGTTTTCCATTGTCCTCCTGTCTCAATAGGGTCCAGTATGCTCCATCCCATGTCCACCTGGATACTATGGTTCTGGCTGTGAGCATGAATGCAACTGTCATAATCTTGGCCAATGTGACCCGGAAATTGGGCAGTGCCAATGTGCTCTAGGTTACACAGGTGACCGGTAAGCTATTCCATTAAAGAGCAATGTATATTTGAAAGCCAAGACAGCTCCTATAAGTACACTAATGTGTTTTTTACAGCGGGTCCATATGTGGTGATGCATTCTAATCAGAATGCTGGGGGCAGGTCAGTGTATTGTATTGCAATTGTATTGCTCAGCTGCAGTGTAGAAAATCAAGGTCACCAGCCTTGCTATACCAACGGGCAGGGATGCCGGATCATAAGACTAGCTGAACAGAACATGTAAGTTCTGGTAGAGAAAATTATTTAACTTATATACAGTAGTATATTATAGCTGAAAATGTATCGCTTTTCCTAGTGTTCAGCTTTTTAGTTTATTTTCAGTTTCTAAAATCCCCAAGCCGTGTAGAATTGTAGGTGCCACAGTCCTCTGTATGAAATAGCAGTATCATGTTCATTAGAACCCACATGGAAGAAAAATATATTTGAAATAGATTTTAAAAATATTCTTCCCAAATATATTGATGTATATTTGAAATGCTACAATTTTGGCCATATTCAATATATTTCAAAATATATTTCAATAAATATACATACATATATACTGCATGTTGAAATGTGTTTTTATGTCTTTAAAAATACAAATGTACATTTTTTGGAATGCATTTACAAATACATGTAAAAATATATGTAAAAATGACCTTTTTATATGTTAAAAACAATCAGAAGAATATATTTAAAAAAATATATATATTTTAAAAATTCCAATAATGTAGATTTGTATTTTTAAAGACATACAGTATATTTGAAATGTATTTTTTAAAATATGTTTAATATATTTTGTAATAAAAACGCATTTCAACATGCAATGTATGTGTGTATATATATATATTTTGAATATGGCCAAAATTGTAGCATTTCAAATATTTGGCAATATTTTTTATATATTTGGTAAGAATATTTTTAAAGTATATTTCAAATATATTTTTCTTTCATATGGGTAAGGGGGGTAGTAGGGGAACAGAGGACTGAAGAGTTCAACTAAATCTGCAGCCACCAGCAAAAGGGACCTTTGAGTGTCAGTACTGTCCTATGTGCTGATTTGTTTTTTTAATATTTTGATTAAATTTAGGATTTAACAATTAGAACATCAACCACATGCTTTGAAAATGAACAATTTTGAATACAAATCTAGTGTAGGGTCATCTAAGGATGGATAAGCTGCAATATATTACATTTTTGGTTTTGGGTTTAGGTACTCTACGAAATGAGATGCTAATCCAAGTAGCCAATATATGTGGTGTACCCTTTTCACCCCGACATACCTTTGTAATTCATAGGTGCTCCCTGATGTTTCCATTCAGCTGGCAATGTAGCGTTGTAATCTGAATATATTGAATATGGCCAAAATTGTAGCATTTCAAATATATGTCAATATATTTGGAAAGAATATTTTTTAAATATATTTCAAATATATTTTTCTTCCATATTCTATTCTATTCCATACTATTCTAATATAACTGTTTTCATAGAACAGTGTTTTTTTAATGGACATATTCTAATACAGGATACCACCAGGTTTGTTACCAATTAAACTGTTTAAATATGATTAGATGGGGTGTAAGCTATCTTTATTTAAACCTGACAACCTGACATCTCATTTAGGTCTATGCATGGCAGTGCTTTGTGCTGCAATATAGGGCATTGCAAAGCACAGCACAAAAATGTAACATGTCCTTTTTTCAGTGAACATCAACACAGTGCTTTGGTGTGAACTAAAGAAATGGGACATAAGGCAAGCTGAGTTGTCTATATCCGTTGGGACAGCATTGGGCATCACTGCCCAGCAAAGCCCAACAGCTTAAATGAGCCCCAACTAAAGCCAGAGAGAAGATGAATAGCTAAGTGCACATATTAAATACTGGGGGTCATTCTCCCTGCAAAAAAAAGTTGTCTTTCGCTCCATCCAGTCCTATGATTTACACAGCTCTATCACACCACGCAGCCCTGTCTGGCAGGACAGGGGACCTGATTATTCTATGCAGCTGTTAAGTAACTCTTACGATGTTTGGTCTCTTCCCCTGGCTGTGATTGGACAATGACAGAGGAAGCAGTTAACTAATAAGCTCATATACCTCTCACTATGCTATTTCCTCCTAAAATTTTGCCATGGTGGTCAGTGGGATGAATGCCCCTTACATTGGTGGTCAATAGGAAGAATTCTTACATTGGTGGTCAGTGGGAAGAATGCTCCTTGCATTGGAGGTCAGTAGGAAGAATGTCCCCTTACATTGGTGGCAAATGGGAAGAATACCCCTTACATTGGTGGCTAGTGGGAACAATACCCCTTACATTGGTAGTCAGTGAGAAGAATGCGCCTATCATTTGTGGTCAGTAGGAAGACTTCTCCTTACATTGGTGGTCAGGGGGAAGAATGCTCCTTACATTGGAGATCAGTAGGAAGACTGCCCCCTTACGATGGTGGCTAGTGGGAAGAATACCCTTTACATTGGCAGTCAGTGGGAAGAATACCCCTTACATTGGTGGTCAGTGAGGATAATGCTTCTTACGTTGGTCATCAGTTAAAATAATGATCCTTACAGAGGTGGACAGTGGAAAGAATTTTGCTTACATTGTTGGTCAGTGGGAAAAATGCCCCTTACATTGGTGGTCATTGGAAAGAATGCTCCTTACATTGGAGGTAATGGGGAAGAGTGCCCCTTACATTGGTGTTTAGTGGGAAGAATGCCATCTAAATGAGTGGTCAGTGGAAGAATGATCTTTACAGTGGTGGTCAGTGGGAAAAATTCCCCTTAAATTGTTGGTCAGTGGGAAGAAATTCTCCTTACGTTGGTGGTCAGTGGGAAGAATACCCCTTACATTGGTGGTCAGTGGGAAGAATACCCCTTACATTGGTGGTCAGTGGGAAGAATACTCCTTACATTGGTGGTCAGTGGGAAGAACGGCCCTTACATTGGTGGTTGGTGAGAGGAATGCACCTTACATTGGTGGTCAGTAGGAAGAATGGCTCTTGCATTGGTAATCAATGGGAAAAATTCTGCTTACACTGGAGGTCAGTGGGAAGAATGGCCCTTACATTGGTCGTTGGTGGGAAGAATGGCCTGTGCACTTCCAATCAATGGGAATAATTCTGCTTACATTGGAAATCAGTGCGAAGAATGCTCCTTCCATTCGTGGTCATTAGAAAGTATTCCCCAGGATCACTGGGGTCAGTGGTTGCCTATCTAAGAGGCAGAAATTTACCATTGCCACATGAACCCCTAGCAACTGCTGGAGAAACTCCAGTTGAAAAAGTTTGTTATAGAAACAGCCTGAAACAGTTTTATACTTGTATGCTTCCTTAACTGGGATGATGTCAAATTCTTTGTACAATCCATTTGCAAGTCAAATAAACATAATTTAGTGAAAATATCTATGATATCCCAACTACAATGTGAGAATTAGTATCACTTTTTGTGCCAAAATCTTACTCGGAAAAAATGACAAGCATAGAGGTTAGAGGCCAACAGCTGCACTGCATCCTGCTGGATAGTACATTGTACAGCATGAAAACTGGTCACTAAGCAGCAGAAAAATTGGTTTTCACCTGGAAAGTGTGCCTTAAAATCTCATATAGCACTTGCAAGCCCAGCTATTGAATATCCAACAGACAATACCCATAGCACCTAATCAGATTCCAGCCGTCAACGAAACCAAGTTTTGCTATAGTCCAGTTTCTATTATAAATGAGGTGTGATGTATGAAAAATTACAACCGGACCGGGTGCTATGGTAGCACGTTTGTTATGCAGGACTGAAGTCTTGGGTTTAATCCCAGGTACAGAGATTATCAGTATGAAAATTGTATTTTAACCTATTTTTTTTCCAGCACCTTTCCACAATCCATAATAGTAATTTTATTAAGACGTAGTCATTTTATTTGCTGTCTGGAGAGTGTAATATGTGGTTGAAAGTAAAATTCATCTAAATACATTCCAGATGCATCAAAACAAAAGGTGTGCAAAGCCTTACAGTTCTTTTCTTTAGAAAGCAGCCACAGCCTGAGTATAAAAGCCTTTCTCCGGTCAGCGTGTAGGAACGGATTAGTTTTGGGCTCCTCCTTGATGGAAGAGATCTGTTAATCCTGCTCTTCAGGCAGATCCCTTAAAGAATAGATAGGATTTAGTACAGAGAGAGAGTGAAGATGTAGAGGTTAACTAGTGGAACTGTGTTTGGTTCCCCTATGTGGGCTCCTGAGCCTTAAGTCGCTGAACATTCTTCACTGGCCAGAAGAGGATAAAGACTTAAACTTATGCCAGAAGATGTAGGTTCCTTAGGGTTAGGGAAGTAAATGAGCAATTAGTTGGCTTCCTGCTTGAGGTGTGTTACTCAAAGAGAATGCCTGAATACCTGAGTGGAGGCATCTAAAGTGGGCCTGTTCAAAGTTAGGCCGCGGGCACTGGGATGGGTCCTGACTCTTAATATGCCACAGTGGTGCGTGTTTGAAAAAACAAGTACATGGTGTAAACCTGTTTGGGTCAGAAGCTGGAGGTGGTTAATGGGAAGAGGTCGACCCCCTAGCTGGTGGGTAGAGGATTCAGGTGACCTGGGCTCCTGTGTCGCATTGGGCCCCAGGGCATGGTGAAATTGTCCTAGCCTATAACCAGAGAAAAAGCAAGACCTTGCAAGTGAGTATTTCCTAGCCTAACTGAAAGGTCAGTGTGTGATGGACCAAGAGGATGATGAAGTGGGGTTTCTAACCCACCATTCGCATACAAGAAGGCAGGTAGTACTGGTTTGCGTTGGGTTTTGGGATGAGAACGAGCATGTGGTCAGGTCCCTCAGTAACCCTGCTAACAAGAATGCTGAAGAAAAGGGCAAACCTCTCCTCTGTGTGTCATAGCAGAGATCCAACATGCCCACTGTTCGGTCAAAGCTTCAAGTCTCCAATCGCCAAAACACATGCTACCTGCTTATTGAAGACCTTTAGCTCTAACCTGGCAAGGGGCATGTCTGACCACTGCAGAGAGACCACTTCTTTCACACAGAGAACAAGCGTCCTTCTCTGCAGCATGCTGGCAGGGGACCTGCTTTTCTACTCACTATATAAGATGATGCACCTGAATTGTATTTAACAGGTTTAAACTGAATGTTAAGTTGGGCTCCAGCCTCCTTTCGGAATGAGTACCTAAAATAAATCTCTTCATTGCATCAATAAACATTTATTTGTATTTTGTTATTGGACTACAGCTGTCGGGAAGAGTGTCCTATAGGAAAGTACGGTCAGGACTGTGAACAAACCTGCAACTGTGTGAACGGGGTGCGTTGCTTTCATATCAACGGAGCATGCCTGTGTGAAGCTGGCTTCTTTGGGGAAAACTGTGAAGAGCGAATGTGTGTAGATGGCATGTACGGCATACACTGCAACATGCCCTGCCTGTGTGACCCTCAGCACACTAAGAGGTAACTACATCTAAAAGCTTACCTACTAAACAGTGCGAAAAGCATTCTGATGTACAGAATGCAGCAACCAACAAGATAATGGTTTATTGAAATGATGTTTATGTAAGACCGTTTGTTATTGGTTGCAGTAAGTTAGACTACATACTGTATTTCAATGAATATGCCTGTTATATTAAAGAAACAAGTTAAAGTCAAGAAAATGACTTTAGGTGCCTCTAGGAACTTGCACTTTAAGAAAATGTTGTGTCTGTCCTTTTAACTGACACCCCACAAAAGCCTTATAAAAAAAACATCATAGGAAAAAGTATCAATAATTATACAGGCATTCAATTGCTCTAACTCCATACCTACATCCCTAAAATATAATATATATCGAGAGAATGATAATATATATATATATATATTACAAAAGACTAAAATCATGGCATCCATTACATATAGAAATAATTCAGAGGTGTATTATCTGTGTACTAGATGATTTTAAACTTTTGTATTCAAATTGGTGACATTATATAACAAAATTAATTTCTGTATATTGATATATAAATGTACATATATGGTATAGTACAATAAAAGTCCAAAGTTTGCACTCACTATGTAAAAAAAAAACAATATTCTTTAATTAGGTTTAGGGTAATATTTATTTTTATAATACCTATAACGCTGCCACCTCCCCCTCACTCCCCCTCTCTGTTGGGGTCCCTCAAGGTTATGTCTTCGGGCCCCTTCTCTTCTCCATCTACACCTCCTCCCTTGGCCAACTGATACACTCTCACGGCTTCAACTACCATCTCTATGCCGATGACACGCAAATTTATCTCTCTACCCCTCGCCTCACCCCTTCAGTCTCCGCCCGAATCACTAGCCTACTGAACGACATATCGGATTGGATGTCACTCCACTTCCTCAAATTAAACCTTTCCAAAACCGAGCTTCTAGTTTTCCCCCCAGCCTGTGCCCCCCCCCCCTGACTTCTCCATCACGACCAACAATGCCACCATCAGTCCCACCCCGCAAGCCAGAGTACTAGGTGTCATCCTAGACTCCAATATGTCTTTCCAGTCCCAGGTCCAATTTCTGGCAAACTCATGTAGACTCCACCTCCACAACATCTCAAAAAATACATCCATTCCTAACCCCGGAAACTACAAAGCAACTCATTCACTCCCTTATTATATCACGACTTGACTACTGTAAATCCCTCCTCACTGCCTACCTCACCACAGGCTATCCCCGCTCCAGTCTATCCTAAATACTGCGGCCAGACTCATCCACCTTACTAACCGCTCCGTATCCGCCACCCCCCTCTGCTAATCCCTCCACTGGCTTCCCATTGCCCAACGGATAAAATTCAAAATACTAACATTGACGTACAAAGCTGTTCATAACACTGCCCCAAACTAAATCACCGACCTGATATCCAAATACCACACAAAACATACTCTCCGCTTCTCACAAGACCTCCTACTCTCTAATTCCCTGGTCTCCTCCTCCCATGCCTGTCTCCAGGACTTCTCCAGGGCTTCCCCCATCCTCTGGAACTCCCTACCCCAATCCATCAGACTATCACCTACTCTCCTCTCCTTTAGGCGCACCCTGAAAACCCATCTCTTCAGGGAAGCCTACCCCGCCCTCAGCTAATTGCCGATATCCTCCACTCTTCCTACCACTCCATCCCCCACAGCTATTTCCTCCTGCTTGAAAAAGGAGTGCACTTTCGCCTTCTAGGCCAGTGCATGCTCCGAAACGCATCGCAGTGCACCCTGGGATCTGACGTCATCACGGCCACGCCGCCGCTACGTTCCAGCGTGCGTTCCATCCGGCTCTGAGGGAGGACGTGCATGAAGGCTGGCCTCAACGCTGTTCCCCCTCCAGCCACCACGCTGTTCCAGCCGAGAGCTGACCTCCCCACATCGCAGAGAGATGACGGCTCTTCACCCGGGTTACCACCCCACCGTTAACTATTGTTAACCACGGTTTTTATGCTTATGATTACTTCACACATGTGAGTGTTTCTACATTTAGACTTGAATTAAAAGACTTATTGCACTTAGAGGTGCTTCTCTCCTTTTTATCATCTACAGAAGTTGCTACAGCTTATTTGGAAGCCTTGCCCTCAGTGCCACACGGAATCCTACGCTCTTCATACAGTAGCCACTAATACCACCATCACCCATACTACCATTTCCCAGGACTTTGCAGTGTTTGCGCTGTTACAACCCTTCCTCATTTTTTCTATTTCCTCCTGTACTATCCCCACTCTCCTAGATTGTAAGCTCCAAGGAGCAGGGCCCTTGAACCCCTCATGTATTGAATTGTATTGTTACTGTACTGTCTCCCATTGTAATGTACAGCACTGAGCAAACTGTTGGCACTATATAAATCCTGTATAATAATAATAATTTTTACAATGATGACAGTCTTTTTCTAACAGTTTTTAGTTTACATGTGTATTATTGCTCTTTTTATTTAGTATAGAATGGTTCTATAACAGTACATTTAAAATATAATAAATTACCTGTTAATGTACTATGCTAAAGATAGCATCACTACCAACTGTCTACAATCCTGCATTTATAGAAATAAAAATATCCAAGCCACATTTGCCAACCAATCATTATAAAACAATCAAAACACATCTTGTTACATCTAGAGATTTGTACTTTTATTCCAATTCTACATTTTTCTACTCTTTTTGATGTTACCATAACACAAGGGTTTAGGTTTACAATACAAATACCAACATTCATACAAATCTCATTGAAATGGTTCATGGGTCATTCTTGAGCCAGTCAACATGCCACAGTGAAACTGATGGCCACATAGTGGTGAGAGGGCATCTACATACTGTCATGGTACGGTGCAAACTGATGTCATACAACTTGTTGGGGACCAACTTGCATACTGAATGCAGCCAAGACAACCAATTAGAAACCTGTAATATAATAATAATAATAATATTACTATAAGGAAAAATGTTCACCCCACATCTCCTTGTGTTCCCAGTTGCCACCCCATGTCTGGAGAATGTACCTGTAAGACAGGCTGGGCCGGCTTGTTCTGCAATGAGACCTGTCCTCATGGTTACTATGGAACCAACTGCCAGGAACCGTGTTTGTGCCTCAATGGAGGATCCTGTGATAGTGAAACTGGCTCATGTCAATGTGCACCTGGATTTTCCGTAAGTAAAACAGAAAAGTCTTTAATTTCTGTGAGACTTGCTTGTATTCAGTTCCCAGGAACCATTGCCTGATATCAACCTCTGTGTAGATAACATTAAACTACAAAGTGATAAACAATTCTGTGGCATTGTCATTACAGGGAAGTCATTGTTCCGTATTCTGTCCTGAAGACACCTATGGAGATAAATGTTCCCAGAAATGCAGCTGCAAAAACTACTTGGCCTGTTCCCCCATTGATGGCACCTGTGTGTGTAAGGAAGGTAAGGCACTGAATGACAGCTATGGTGACCTTTTAACCAACTTAAAAAACTGCAAGTGAAAGTTCAGAAAAATTATAGTCTTTTGATCAGTGATTTTACTTTTTCCTAATTTTTTATTTAAAGCAGAAATCTGGGCAAAATATTTTTTGAAGCAAGCAGTGGGGCTGTCCCTGCACTGCATGGGGTAACTGCTCATTTTTGTCTAGGGGTGATAACAGTGAAGATATACTTACCGAATCCACCGATCCTTGAAGTGCAAGAATGGTCCCTATTGCTTCTGCCCCCCTGCATGCTAGCTGTCTTGGGAATGGACTGTTCTTGGCGTCATCATTCCCATAGACCAGCTGCGGGCAAGAGGACAGCAGGAATAGTCCACTGCTGGACGTGGGGAAGCGCAGTTTTCTAGAAGATCGGAGGATAGGGTAAGTATAACTCTTCCCTAAACCACTGGACAAAACTAGCAGTTTTCCCATGCAGTGGGGCTGTACATGGAGTTCTCCTTAGAATGTGTCCTTTTACTTGCTAGAAAACATGACTACTCCAGAAAGTGGCAGTTCCCTAGAACAGCCCCCTCCCTCCTTTGTACATCGTAGGCCTCTACTTTTCTGGGAATTTCTGTTTACACTGTGTGCTGGCCCAGCTCCTCCACCACTCACGTTCCTACATAACCTTTTATGTAGCTGCCAGGGGAGGAGCAAAGAATACTATAGAGTGTCACTTGGGTGACAACTCTGAGACTACTGGAGTTGCTGGCATCACAACCAAGATGATGGTGCTAAGCAGTCTCATGGCTTTGGATGTCTACACAAGAGAGGTTTTTATATTTATTTATTTCAGGTACTTATATAGCACCTTCAATTTACGCAGCGCTTTACATATATATTGTACATTCACATCAGTCCCTAACCCTCAAGGGGTGTACAATCTAAGGTCCCTAATTCACATACCAGGGCCAATTTAGACAGGAGCCAATTAACCTACCAGCATGTCTTTGGAGTGTGGGAGGAAACCAGAGTACCCGGAGGAAATCCACTCAGTCTCAGGGAGAACATGCAAACTCCAGGCAGGTGGTGCTGTGGTTGGGATTCAAACCAGCAACCCTACTACTGCCAGGCGGCAGTGCTAACCATTTAGCCACTGTGCTGTACACTCTACAGTATCTGTGAAAAGGATCTGGTTTAAGCACTGCTACCACCCATGCCTGAAGTAACAGAGTTTAGGCCTAGTCAACCCTAAGTGGCTATGTAAATTCCAATAGATTCTAAGGCAACATCATAATATATTACTGCACGATATGATATTTCAGTCTGGTAACAACTGAGGATGCAATGTCCTGTATTATATAGGTAAATGACTCATCTAGCGTACATTAAATAATCGTATGGGAAGATTTTTGTTGAAATGAATGGTCTGGAGACAGGATCTCTTTAAGGAGTGATATACTGCAAGACATGTAAAAAAGATGTGGAGAAGATAGTGTGTGCCAGAGAAAAGCAATTTTGATATAGACTATCATACATTGGTGACCTGGAGCTCATATGGTGCCTAGGCATGTTTCAGTTTCACTCTTTTGATATTCCCATAATATCTATGAATATAGAAAGGTAACATTATGTCTGTCTGTGAAAGTTCTCATTTATCCAGGTCATGGTATATTGAGCAGTGGTTCATCACATTCAACTGGACATGTTCTGTAATGCTGAAGCGGTATTGTAGCTTCTCCAAACCACTTCTGAATTTCAGAACTGAAAAAGTGGTTGGATAAGCTTCAAAGGGTCTTCAACATTACAGAGCAAGCAGCTTCAGTTGAGTGTAACTAATTACTTGTAGATATCCTAAAAACAGTCATAATTTTGAAGATAGTTTGGACTAAACCACAATAAAACACAAACTCATGTGTGAAAAAAACTGAAAGGGAAATTCCCATTGCCATTGTCAATAAAAAGCTGCATTTATCCACAGGTTGTAGTAAGAGATCCATTATAATATTCTCCCTAATGCAGGCTGGCAGAAAGGTGACTGCTCGGTACCTTGCCCAAAAGGAATGTGGGGTTTCAACTGCAACAGGACGTGTGAGTGTGTCAATGGGGCCTCCTGCAGTCCAATTACGGGGCAATGCTTCTGCACCTCTGGATGGTTTGGGAAGAAATGTGAACTACCATGCAAGGTATGGAACAGACTGCACATCTGGGTGTGATTGGGTATTTATTTACCTCACCTAATCTTGACAGTGCAGTTAAAAGGAACAATGTGTAAAATCTAAAGCTGGGTATACATGTACCGAAACTGAACCGGCCAATTTTCGGTGCACCCTGTCTAACAGAAGCTGGTTGTTACTTCGGCTTCTGTCGAATGGTCCTGCTGGGAAATCAGCATTCGATCAGAGCATACAGTCAATGGCTGATCTGTGTATTCTAAGGAAGGGGGAGCCCCCTGCTGTTACAATACAATAGCGCGGTGGGGGAGATTCTTGGGTCCACACTTTTTGTTGTTGTGGGTGTGCTTGTGTGTGCGTGTACGTGTGTGGTGTGTGCGTATACCCTACTTAACAATGAACTTCACTTATCTGGACCCTTATGGTCTGTTAAATATATCATTGAAGGTGTTGTATCATTTTGAAAACAGAACAGAAATATGTAGCCAGTGAGGGATAAATTCTACCAGCCTTCACCAATAACAGAAATGTAACTTTTTTGGGTGGACTGACCCTTTAAATAGTAACTTCAGTCAAGGAAGTTAGGTAATCATGTTGAGTTATTGAATTGTTGTGTGATGCAAATTATATTTGCCTCTGTTTTCATTGTCTGAATAGGTGTATGAATTTTGGGTGCCAGCAGTTCATACTTTACTTTGGGTGGTGTCTGTTTCCCTAGACCTAAAGCATTGACACCTATAGCAATGATGCCCAACCTGTGGCCCTTCTGTACTTGAGAAGCCCTTCGACCCCAGCAGTTGGGAGCAGCAGCAGTGATCTCTAGCCTCATCTGACGTATCCCCTGTCTTTGACTATTGTCTCCAACCACATCTGTAGCATGTCAATTGTAGTATGGTAGGATTACCATGGTCCCTGGCTGTCTTGTGTAGCATTTTATATACTGAATAATATGTGTGCCCCCCTTGATAATATCAAGGGCCACAGCTGAGGTTCCCTATACCTCCTAAGTTGATTGCCACTGACCAAGAGGATCAAAAGCAAGATGCAGGATAGCAAGTTTTTGAACACCTAGACTAGGTCTTTAAAAGACTAGACACTATTAATTCTGGTTCCCATTAATTCATATGGCAATTAATGTGTAAAATATCTAAATTGTTGAATTAATTCATCGTTCATCTTTTAATATAATGTTGGTTGACTTGGGGAAAAAAATGGCACTTGCGGTGTATTCTTATGTAAAAGCTTTTTTATGTGCAGACAACATTGTGTTTGTGAAAGTAAACCAACTAATTTTGTCTCTAAATACAGGCGGGCAGCTTTGGACCTGGATGTAGTCAGCGGTGTGAATGTAAAAATGCAGATGGCTGTGACCCAGTGACTGGGAAATGTGGATGCCTAACAGGATGGACTGGTCAGTATATAAGTAGAATCGTTTTTTGTTGTCTATATTGTCTATACATATTGTTTTTATTGTGTACAGCGACTGGATCCTTCTTTTTAATGATAGATCGTCCCTGGGACGAATAAGAGGATGTATCTGAGTGCTATGAGCTACATGTTTATGGCCCATAAAAATAAATCTAGTCACCATTTGGATGCAAATGCAACTTGTTGTAGCATTGTTGTGATTGCTATTTGCAGGGCTGCTGATAGGGGTAGAGCCGGCCCTCCTGTATCAGCTTAGCAAGTGGCCAGGGAGGGAAGAATATATATATTAAAATAATAAATTAAAAAGGATTTCTCTCAACCCAGATCTTATTATGAAGATCTATAGAATACATCAAAACAAAATTATAATGTAATAGAACTGGTGACTGGTGCCACAGTGCCTCATGTATAATATCAAATAATGTGACAGGCTAATCAATAAATCTGCTGAACATTGTAACATCAGGCTACAATCTATGATGCAGTTGGCTGGTCCCAGCAAAACCGGTCAGGCCATCTTCTACCTGGGTCAACTTTAGCCTCATGGACTAATAAGTATATTATATAAAAATTATTTAAAAACAATTTTATTAGACATTGTTTATAGCAAAAAGTAAAAAATATATATTAATTTTTAAGTTTAATTTTTTTTCCCAAAAAATAAAAAACCCAGTGATGATCAAATACCACCAAAAGAAAGCTCTATTTGTTTGAAAAAAAATTATATAAATTTCATTTGTGTACAGTGTTTCATGACTGAGCAATTTTCAGTTAAAATAGCACTGCTCCGTATAGCAAAAAATTACCTGGTCATGAAGGGGGGTAAATCTTCCGGAGGGCAAATTGTTAAATACCTTTGGGCACATGCACAGTAATCCTACAGACTGGCTCCCAGTGATTAAACCATTGGTTGTAGGAAAGAAAATCACCCGGCTTTACCAGAATTCAATGTGTCTGCAGCTAATATTCTTGTGTGTAAGAAGGGGTTAGGTTCTCTTCATTTTTTTCCCCGTCTTGTCTCCAGTTAGTCTGGGTTGGCTGCCTCTGCCCCTAGCCAGGCTATATAAAATGGGGTGGAGCTGTTAACTTGTGGAAGAAGTCGTAAGCACCAGGAAGAGTTTCAGAATGTAGTGGGACTGAGGCCATGTGTTCCCCTGAGCAGGCCTCCTCTGTTGGTCCTAACTATCCATCAAACCATGGACAGCTAAGGAGAGACGTCTAAAAGGGGACCATAAGACTTTTATCAGGAATGAACGGCTATTTAAAGTTGGACGTACGTACCCATTTATTTGGAAAGATTAAATTGTATTGATGTGATAGTTTACAAGGAAGTATTTCTTTGTCCTGCCCGTATTTGAACTTCCTTTATTCAATTAAAGAAGCAAAGGCCAATTCTATCCTATTGAACATTCCATCATTGTAAGAGCTTGGATGTTTGTGAAACAGAGTACAGTATCAAGGTTGAGTACACCCCTGCAGGTGTAGGTGTAACCAGCCTATGTCCTATGACCCACCATGGACAGTTTAGAGCATTGACGATTCTGCTCTTGGCCTGGTCTATAGGAAGAATATGTGGGCCTGTACTATGGATGCCATGTGCACCATTACATATGTCAGGTATGGGGCTACTGAGTAAGACGTGGACTGTGTCAGTTTGTCCTGAAGGAAGGTAGCACCATCTCTTTACAGCAGGCCCTCTGATGCAGGAAATGGTTTATCTACCATGGCTTGGGAGTGCTGCAAGTGCATGCGTGGGGCTACCCTGCAAGTATCATTGCTGCATGAGAAAGACAGAGCTACCTACGCTGGAACTAAGAGCGTGTAAGTATTAAGTATTCTCTACAGTTCCACTTTGCAACTATTAGTATCACAGTTAAAATTAACCACTTCCCAACCTCCCTATAGCAGATGTACTGCTACAGAGTGGCTGTTCTGTGCACAATCACACACACACACACACACATATATATATATATATATATATATATATATATATATATGTGTGTGTGTGTGTGTGTGATTTTGCACTTCCTAGTGAGTGTAGGGGGCGCATGCGCGCTGATTCTGCTGTGATTAGTGACAGCAGAAGCTGATCAATTAGTGCCGCCGGCCAATGGATGAGCACCGGCACCCGTTGATCAGCTATGTGAACAAAGCAGAGCTGCATCCTGTCAACGGCGATCTGCTGGATTTTCTTTCCCAGCCAAGCAGGGAATAAAATCCACCATATTGCCTAGTAAGAGCAACACACTGTGTACACAAATACACTGGTTAGGCACACAGTTAACCCTTTGAGTGCCCTAGATGTTTAACCCCTTCCCAGCCAGCGTCATTAATACAGAAACAGTGTATATTTTTAGCACTGATCACTGTATTAGTGTCACTGGTTCCCACAAAGTGTCAGTGTCAGACTTGCTGCCGCAATATCAAAGTCCCGCTATAAGTCACTGATCGCCGCTACTACTAGTATAAAAAAAAATTCCAGTATATAAACCATAGTTTGTAGACGCTATAACTTTTGCACAAACCAATCAATATACGCCTATTGGAATTTTTTTTACCAAAAATATGTAGCAGAATACATATTGGCCTACCTTTATGAAGAAATTAGATTGTAATTTTTTTTATTAGTTATGCTTTATAGCAGAAAGTAAAAAATATTGTTTTTTTTTTCTTTTGTTGGTCTTTTTTTGTTTATAGTACAAAAAATTAAAAACGCAGAGGTGAACAAATTCTACGAAAAGAAAGTTCTATTTGTGGGAAAATAATTACATAAGATTCATTTATTTAGTGTTGCATGAATGTGCAATTGTCAGCTCCGCCTAGCAAAAAATGGCCTGGTCAGGAAGGGGGGGGGGAGGTAAATACTCTGGAGGGCAAGTGGTTAATAAAAAGGTTAAATTGGGGAAAATTTTGATTCAGGAAAAAGTACCATCTTGGAGTCAGGGAACATTTTTCCCCTCTGGTGAAGCCATATTGGTAACAACTTCCCAGGAGGTTTTTTTTTTTTTTTACCTTCCCCTAAACTAAACAGACGGAGTTTGTAAAAGACTGAACTTGATAAGTGTATCTTTATCCATTCTAGTTAACTATGTGCAGGGACAAATATTTCAACAAAAAGTGATAACGGCCTTAACTTGGACATGGGATTCCTCAACCATTATCCAACAGCTTTATGACTATCTATTAGCTGAAGTTTGACCCCCTCTGTGTGAGTGTAGTATCCCCCCCTCCCCCCTCGCTCTTGATGTATCTTATCTGTAGCCTTTTTTTTTTTTTTTTTTCTCAGTCCCTTTTTACATTCTGCTTAAACTTTGTGATTTGTAACAGTACTGCTTGGACTTTGAAGAAGGGGACATACCCCGAAAGCTTGTCCTCAAAATTGTATGTTAGTGCAAATAAAAAAAGTATCACGAACAGTACTCAATTGTTTCTGTAACAAAAAGTGAAAAATGGTAAATTAGAATCTCTACTGAACGAGGATGTGTTTATATATTAGAAATGCCAGGTTTGCCTGTTTGATTTTTCAATAATTGTGATTTATTTTCTCCAGGCATCTACTGTGAGCAGACTTGCAGAGAGGGATTTTGGGGGGAGGAACTGTAACATGTCCTGTACATGTAGGAATGGGGCGTTGTGCTCCGTGGAGGATGGATCGTGTACCTGCACTGCTGGCTTCCAGGGACCAGACTGCGAGAACAGTAAGAAGCCAGTAACAGTCATTACAAAAGTGCCAGATGCAAGCTTGTATTTTAGGAAAGGTTACATCATCCCAACAAATCACTCCAAGGGAATCACTCTCTCCGAGAATGTGCTCACTTACTACAAGGTTCAAGTCCTTCTCAGATAGGAAATGTAACTTGAGTCCAACAAAACATACGTTTTGTACTTGCAGGGCTGCTATTATAGTCTCTCTAGACTGCTCTAAGGGAGGATTCACTCTCACTTATCCTTCCCTTTTGGAGACCAAATCCCAGCTTTTACAGAAATTCCAAAGAAGACCAACAACGTCCTTTCTTATGGATGCAATCTTAAGGGACTACATTTCATATTTGATTGGCATGCCATCTAGCCTCCCATTTCTCAACACAAATAAAATATATGACCTCCTCCATCTCAGGTTCCATGTCTCCAAAGGATCCTGCTTTATTGCTATTATAAGGCACACAAGAAAACATTCCAGTTCACAGGTTGACAGGTTTTCCTGCTAAGAATCATGTAGTTCAGGGGTGCTCAACCTTTTAAAGAGCGAGGGCCACTCAAGCGATTTGGTAACTGGTCATGGGCCACAGTGAAATGAAATAGTTCAGAATTTTGACTTTTATTTTGAAAAGTATAATTAACATTTTCCTCCTGAATGCTGGTGGGAGGGAGAGGAAGAGAAGCTGGCTCTCAGCAGTTGCAGGAGGAAAATGGAGAGGAGGAATTACTGTGTATATATCGCTCTTACAGCCCCTGCTGTCCAAGTGTAAATCAAAATGTGACAGGGAGGCTGCAGGGCCCCCTGGAGCATGGGGTAGGGTCACCTTTGTGACCCCTGATACTGCACCAGTGGTCGGGGTGTGTTGTAAAAACACGGTTTTACCACCCCCCAAACTTTAAATGTAAACGAGACCTTATTTTTCTGAGCTTTCACACTGATGCAGTGTGGTTTACCTGCGCCACGGGTGCAGGTTAGCTGAGCTTTGCCATAGACTTCTGTTATATCTTGCGGGTTTGGCACACTTTCTGAAAGCGCACCAAAACTCCCACATTCAGAAGCTTTCAGAAAGTGCACCAAACCCGCAGAATAAGATAAAAGTGCGCTTCCCTGGCTTGAGGTCGAGGGCCAAATCAAAGGGTTCCGAGGACCACATGTGGCCCACGGACCACGGTTGAGCACCCCTGATGTAGCTCCTCGATGGAAATCTATTTACCAATTACTTGATTCAATAAATAACTCCCTTATGATATACATTTGAAAACATTGACTCCACTATCAAGGGCCCTATGAGATGATTCTATAAAACTTAGCAGTCCGTTTTTGACTGTTCTAACATCACATGTCCTTCTCAGTTGGTTATTAAGAAACTATGTAACCCTTAGAAACATTTATCTGGTTTGCCCAGTGTGTAAGACCGAAGCCATCATCTGTAATTCTTTTATAATTACTGCCCAGGAACAGATAGCAGTCGCAATAAAAAGCTAAAATATATGTGTTATCTTTATTTATTGTTCATTGATTGATTTATATTACTAGCAAAATTAATGTTATGTTTAATTATGATAACTTCGGTCCCATCAAGCCCACTGCTCAAAAATTGACATGCCTTCCTAAAGCTGAAGGTTAATCTGCTTATGGTTTGCCTTCTCTAGCTCCTCCCTCCCCATCTCATTACCATGTCAATGAAATTCTTAAATCCAAAATGTAATTTTTTTCCACATACTTTATTTTATTACCATCTTTTAATTATTGTAAACAGCTCCTATAGATGTTCTCAATTTAGATGTTACTGTTGAGTTAGATGATGCTTCATATGACCCTCTGTTTTAATATTTGATTTTTAAGGTTGTTCTCCAGGTCGCTATGGGAAGAAATGCACCTTTGCCTGCAAATGTTCCAGCCACTCCATCTGTAATCCCATCGATGGCTCCTGTAAATGCTCACCTGGGTGGGGAGGCAGCGACTGCTCTGAGCGTATGTTTTTGATCTTTTAATTAAAAAATACAGAAATTTGTATGTAAAAGAAAGTCTGTTCAGCTCTAATGAACCCACGTTTGCTTTTCTAACTCATCCAGGACCAGGGTCAGATCTAGCCTATCTAATCTGGGGGTACAGTAAAAAAAAGTCAGGGGGCTTAATGTCAACACTGTGTGTGAGTCATTGACAGTCTGTCACACAATGTCACGACCTGGGAAACACTATTATGTATTAGGCTGTCAGATTATGGTGGAAAAAAAGAACCCGTGCCTCTTATATCAGATGTCCCTATCAGAGTCCTTTTTACATCATGAGTACTCATCGGAGTCCCCCTTTACATCAGGTTCCCATCAGAGTTCCCCCTTACATCAGGGTCCCCATCAGAGTGCCCTCTTACATCAGATGTCCCCATCAGAGTGCCCCCTTAGATCAGGTGTCCCCATCAGAGTGCCCCCTTACATCAAGGTTCCCATCAGAGTGCCCCCTTACATCAGGGTTCCCACCAGAGTGCCCCCTTACATCAGGGTTCCCACCAGAGTGCCCCCTTACATCAGGGTTCCCACCAGAGTGCCCCCTTACATCAGGGTTCCCACCAGAGTGCCCCCTTACATCAGGGTTCCCACCAGAGTGCCCCCTTACATCAGGGTTCCCACCAGAGTGCCCCCTTACATCAGGGTTCCCACCAGAGTGCCCCCTTACATCAGGGTCTCCATCAGTGTGCACCCTTACATCAGATGTCCCTATCAGAGTCCCCCTTTACATCAGGTGTCCCCATCGGAGTGCCCCTTACATCAGGGTTCTCATCAGAGTGCCCCCTTAGATCAGCTGACCCCATTGGAGTGCCCCCTTACATCAGGCTTCCCATCAGAATGTCCCCTTACATCAGGGTTTCCATCAGCGTGCCCCCTTACATCAGCGTTCCCATCAGCGTGCCCCCTTACATCAGGGTTCCCATCAGCACGCCCCCTTACATTAGGGTCCCCATCGGTATGCACCCTTACATCAGATGTCCTCATCAGATTCCCCCCTTACATCAGATGACCCCATCAGAGTGCCTCCTTACATCAGATGACTCCATCAGAGTGCCTCCTTAAATCAGCTGACCCCATTGGAGTGCCCACTAACATGCGATTAAAGCGATTCTAAAGGTTCATTTTTGTTTGTAAAATAACAAACATGTCTATACTTACCTACTGTGTTCAGTGGTTTTGCACAGAGCAGCCCGGATCTTCCTCTTCTCAGGTCCTTCTCAGGGTCTCCTGGCTCCTTCTGTCTGTTGGGTGCTCCCATAGCAAGCAGCCTGCTATGGGGGCACACACTGCTCTGTCCATTCACACACAGAGCCGTAGCTTGGCCCCACCTCCTCTCTCTCCTCTCTTCGGGCAGAAACTCGACTCAGCCGAGGCTGCTATTCACATCGATGGATTATGATGATGCTCAGGTAAGTATTGGGGGGGCTGGGGGAACTGCTGCACACAGGTTTTTTACCTTCAAACATAGAATGCATGAAGGTAAAAACCCTTCAGCCTTTACAACCACTTTAATTATCACAACCAGAGTGACTCCTTACATCAGGTGTCCCTATCACAGTGCCCTTTAAATTGATTGTTCCCTTCGGTATGCCTCCTTACATCAAGTGTTTGCATCATGGTGGTTCATAGATCATTCAATGCACTCTTAAAGACCTGGGGGGAGCAATTAAAGTCTAGGGGGCACAGACCATCCCAGAACCCCCCTAGATCCAGGCCTGAATATATGGTGTGCTGGTGGCCCTGAAAGGAGATATTCCCCCATTCTGGCCTCAACAACTGCAGGATCATCTTCCTCAGATCAATGAGTTCTCCTTTATTTATCAGTCGTACCTTGCAATCCCTACTTTATGTTAACATATGTATGTGAGAAATTGCATTAAAATAAACCAGGTTCTTTAAAACAACACCCACCTTTCACCAAAGCCATCAATTACTGTTGCACATTGTAAAGCCTACAGAACACCACTCCTTCGATGGAAAGGCCGTTTTTTTGTTTTTGGCTCCCAATCCATGTTCTCGATCTTCCCTTGAGCTTAATGAACACCCTTATAAAACTATTACTTTAGATTTAGAAGAAAGAAAAAAAACAGGAATTCCATTTGTTCAACTGCACTGCCACCTGATGGTGAAATTTAGTTTTGCATTATAGTATTTCCTTGATTTTAGGGTTGTGGAACATAGGTGTTGATTTCCTAAAGGCAAATAGATTGTGCACTTTGCAAAGTGAAGTTGTACTCTGCAAATGCAGGTGCTCCAAAGAATAGTAAATGAGCAGAAGCTCTGCTGACCTCCATCATCCAATTATGTGCAAGCAAAAATGCTATTTTTTTTTATTTTCCTTGCATTTGATTGGGTATTTTTTGCAAAGTGAAGCTTTACCTTATTTACTAAGGTCTGGAGCAACTGCGCTCACAGAGTTCAATTGCACTTTGCAAAATGCACAGTCTATTTGTCTTTAGTAAATCAAGCCCATGGTGTTTCTACTACATAAGTGAATAGAGGAGCAACATTCAAAGAATTGTTTTTCTACCAAAAAACTACCAGGATTTAGCAGAGGAGTTCTATTCTCCTCTCGGCTGCCAACTGCTGAAACAAGGTGGGGGTGGAGGCAAGGGGATACCTGCAGGAGAGGTGCAAGGGCCACATGAAATCTCCTGGAGGGCCGGATTTAGCCCTCGGGTCTTGTGTGTGACACCTGTGGTTTAGGGGTTTGTTTTTGGGTTTTTATTGAGAACGATGAACTTGGATAGGGATGAGGGAGCTTGGGATACCCTGATAAACTGTAGAACTCTACAACCAGAGGACTCAAGTTTATGGCTGCACTGTACAAAAGTATAATGTCCCGCACAGGGGCGGACTGACAACTCATGGGTCCCCCGGGCAATAGGGGATCATGGGGCCCCTGTGTCCTTGCCAAACTCAAAAAAGCCTATGAAAAATGTACCAGGGGCATCTCATGGGGCCCCCTACTGACCCCGGGCCCTCAGGCAGTGCCCGAGTTTCCAAATGGTCAGTCCACCCCTGGTCCCGCAGGATGTATTTGCTGATAGTGACCTGTACTCCTTCCAGATTTAAAAGCTAAACACTACTCTTCCACACTGGGGTCATGTACTTACACAGCCACAGGCTCATCAGTTGCCTCCTACCGATATCCACCAGGCTCTTTCTAGTGAGGGAGATGCAGACTCACACCACCATAGGACAGCTGAACTGTTTCCCACCAACTTCTTTCTGGCTCTCTTCAGTCAGCTTTTCCAGACCCAACATGATTCATGGGCTTGAGCTACCAAATGCCCCACAGCTAATCCTAGCTGGGACCTCGGTGTCTTCCTAAAGGCTCTTCCCAGACTTCCTGGGTCTCTTTTTGCAGGGCTGGATGCAGGAACACTGCACTTTGCAGCTCAGGCCTTATGCTATTTATGGGTTCTCCCACCACCTACTGAGCATACCTCCCAAGGGATTGTCTGGAGTTCCATAAATATGAGTCTATGAGTCTAGAATCCTCTAGAAGTATGAGGAAGTAACAGAACAGCAGCTTTTGAAACTCTGAGCAGCCCTAATTAATCAACCCCTGCTTCTCTGACTCCAACTAAGTATATGTAGCAGCCTACTTTACACTAAGGTTGTGCTACATCTGTATTCTTGTTTCCAATGATTCTTTGGTAAATAACACACAACATTCTGACTTCTGACATAAATAACCTTTCATCACCTAAAACCATCACCCCTATATTTTAGTGCCCCATGTAGAGTGTGACTTCTGAAGTTTCATGCTTTGCTTCCAGGTCTTTTTCCTGCCTTAAGGTGATCACTACCTTTTAATATTGTTTGTGTCTTGGACCAGTTTGCCCCTTTATACCCATATTATAGACATACTGGGGTACCTAATACACACTGTATATTGTTTTTCTGACACTTTTTCTCTTCCTAGGGTTTTATGTTCCTGTTTTATTTCCCAGTGTACTTTTATTATGTCAGGCACTTATATATGCTGTCAATTTATGCAACTCTTTACACATATATATTGTACATTCACATCAGTCCCTAGCCTTCAAGGGGTGTACAATCTAAAGTCCCTAACTCACATTCATACATACAGATACTAGGGGCAATTTAGAAAGGAGCCAATTAACCTACCAGCATGTCTTTGGAGTGTGGGAGGAAACCAGAGTACCTGGAGGAAACCCACACAAGCACAGGGAGAACATGCAAGCTCCATGCCGGAGGCACCATGGTCGTGAATCGAACCTGTGACCCATTTACTTCAAGGCAGACATGCTAACCACTAAGCCACTGTGTCGCCCCGTCTGTGGATGCGTGGGGGATTCAGGTGTGTGTACATGTGCAGAACCCCCCCCCCTTTGCATGCACAGATGTGCCGCAAGCCTCTGTCAGGTCCCAAAGATGAGGAGGGCACAGGAGGAGGGACAAAAATATTACTATACCCAAAAGCAGCTCTATCTATTGATGAACATAAGGATATATACCATATCATTTTTATGAGGTGCAGATGCAAGCTTACACTTTGAACTGTATATTAAAAAATTCTTGTATATTTTTTTAGCCTGTCCTCCAGGATCTTGGGGAAAGGACTGCTCCGGCAGCTGCAATTGCCAGCATGGAGGGCAGTGCAGTCCTGTAGATGGGTCGTGCAACTGTTTGCCAGGATGGACTGGAAAGACATGCTCTGAAGGTAAAGAAGGAGTGTTTCACTAATTTGTGCCAGTCATGTACCACCAGCAAAACAACCTAATTAGTTATCAGGGTCCATACTGTTTAATTAGCAACTGTCAGCACCTACATTGTACTAGCTGTACTGGCTGTAGAAGCTTGTCCATGGACTTACAGCCACTATGACCTACCTGTATGTTACTGATGTGATTTTCGTAATATCCATTCCAGGATGGCCAATGATTCACCTTTCTAGATATATTTTGTGTGATTAAGGTGTTGCTTTCCCCAAAAAAAGGTTTCTCTTCCATAAATGAAAGAATTGCCAGTTTAATAGCTACAATTAGAGAGGAAACATTCCACTAGGCTATCTTTAATATGTGATATCAAAACTCATTAACACCTGCCTTGAGGACAAGTTGTAGTCTATAAACCAGGTTTGCTTTTCTCAGCTACCTGCTAACTATCCTAACCTTTAAGAGCAGGAGTTCAAATGGACCTGCAGGCAATACATCTCTACATACTGTAATTAAGATCAGGTAAAAAAAAGAGTAGTTGGTCAACCCATGTCTATTGTCCATGTCCAAGTTTAGTGGTGATGCAAGTGACAACATGACTACATGTCTTCTACAAAAAAGTATTGTTTTTTTCCGTATTTGCCTTATAAGAAGATACCAGCCCAAGTGCCCATTGTAATTCTTAAAAACCACACACACACAAATACTAGAAATTGAAAGGTCAGTAGACGTGAAACTGATATTTCAGTTGTGGTAGGTGCTGAAAAATCAACTACCTGTGAGTCCTGATATCACCAGTGGTTGGATCTCTGACCCCAAAGCATCTTAAGATTTAAGATTGAAAGAATGTGGAAATGGACTTTCTAGGCACAGAAACTCGGTACACAAAAAGATAAAATCAATGTTCCTTTATTAAACATCACATCATCTCTAAAATATATCTAGTATGATATCATTGTACAATTCGCCCACAGCTTGTATCCCATGACCCACCGACCACATAGGATGATAACAATAGATGGTAAAACACACCGACCACATAGGAAGATAACATAAGATGGTAACAATATGGACAATACCAACAAAGTAATCCTTCAAAGGGGTAGGGGATATTCAGGCTGTGCAGGCAATGTGGGGGGCGTGGGGCGTTGCAGCACAGCCTGAATATCCCCTACCCCTTTGAAGGATTACTTTGTTGGTATTGTCCATATTGTTACCATCTTTTGTTAATACCAACAAAGTAATCTTTCAAAGGGGTAGGGGATATTCAGGCTGTGCAGGCAATGTGGGGGGCGTGGGGCGTTGCCTGCACAGCTTGAATATCGCCTACCCCTTTGAAGGATTACTTTGTTGGTATTGTCCATATTGTTACCATCTTTTGTTATCATCCTATGTGGTCCATGGGTCACGAGATACCAGTTGTGGGCGAATTGCGCAATGATATCATACTAGATATATTTTAGAGATGATGTGATGTTTAATAAAGGAACATTGATTTTATCTTTCTGTGTACCGAGTTTCTGTGGCCTAGAAAGTCCATTTCCACATTGTTTCTTTCAATATTCTATGTTGGGACGTTGAACTCTGTTACTTAGCGGGTGTGACCTCCTACCACCCAAGGGTCACCCCAACCTTTCAATATCTTAAGATTTAATATCTTAGTTGCCGGAATACACTTACATAATCTAGGGCCACCATGATGACAAACCAAATGACGTGTTCATTTTGTGAGAAGAAACGGAATCACCCAGAGGAAATCCATTCAGTAAGATAAGAGCTTCATAGGGTAATATCCCTGGTGGTCATGAAACCAGAACCTGAGTACAGCAAGCCTATAGTGTTAGACTTGTTCCACTAGGGCTCTGGTATCATGACCACCAGGGACATTATCCTAAGATGCTTTTATGTCACTGAATGGATTAACCTATAGTCCACCATCCTGTGTTAAACTTTTTTTTTTTAATGAAAACATATTTATTCCTAGTTGTATTTTTTTGTCTTTATTCATCTATTTTCATAAAATAAAACAATAATCATTCTGTATACAATTTCTGTAGCTTGCCCACTGGGACTTTGGGGGAAAGACTGCGCTAACACCTGTTATTGCCAAAATGGAGGGCAATGTAACCCGTTTGATGGAACTTGTGCCTGTTCTTCTGGATGGACTGGAAAAATGTGTTCTGAAGGTAAAATTGATGCATATCTGATTCGTTTATTCCAAGTTTGTCTCCTTATGCCTATTCTTCCAAGTTTATTAAAACTTGTGAAGTAAACAGTCAGTTTTAAATGAAGCCAGTTCTGTAGTCTGTTCTGTATGGAAAAATATTGTATTCTAAAGCAGCCCATAAATGATGCAGTCTTCTTTCTTTTCACCATGGATGGAAGGACAGAAAATTGATTAATTCCCCTATCAACACGTAAGTATTGATGGGGGAATCCTTCTTGCAGCGCTAATTTGTTCTGCTGGTGGGCAGTCTTTCTGGCCAACAGAACACAATGCTCACTGCTGGAGGCTATAGCTGCCAGCAGTAATTTCTTGACAAAATTAGACAGTCTGGTTGTACTGAAGTCGACTTACAACCAGCCTGTTCATAGATGGATTCAATCTTGAACTGTCCCTGCTGAACCGGCCAAGATTTGATCCATCTATGGCTGGCTTAAGGGGCTAATACCTGTGGTAGTTTTCAGTATGTGGACACATGACCATCACATCTATATGAGCTTGCTGGACATCCCGTTCCAAAACCAAAGACTAAATAGCACTCTCCTGGAGTCCCCCCACACCTTTTTTCAGCTATAACAGCGTCCTCCCTTCTGAGAAGACTTTCCACGATATTTTAGTGTGTGTCTGTGGGAATGTGTGCCCATTTAGCCTAAAGAGCATTGCGAGATCAAGTACTGATGTTGGAAGAGAAGACCTGACCAGCAGCTGGTATTCAATAAGGTCGAGGTCACGGCTGTACAAATGCCACTTAAGTACCTCCACACCCTACCCATTAACCAATGAGGGTTATTTACTAAAACAGAAGAGTGCATAGCTCTGCATAGAAACCAATCAGCTTCCAGGTTTTATTTTTAAAGCTTAACCCCTTTACACCAGCGCCTCCCTGCCCTTTAAGAGGTTTCAGAAGCCAAGAGGTGGGGTGGGATTTTAGGGTCATGTTACCGCCCTGATTCGCTGTCATGGCGGTCACATGATCAGAAAAGGACCTGATTGCAAGGGGAGAGCGGGTCCTTTCTGTGAGTCACAGACATATGTGCTGGGAGCGCACAGGGAGCGCGCTCTCAGCACATATGTATTTTTTAAATGGTACACAAATATGCGGCAGCTCGGTGTTAACCTCCCTGGCGGTATTCCCGAGTGTAGCTCGGGGTAAAATTTCAGTACCAAGAGCGGTAACCCCGAGCTACACTCGGGCTTACCATGCGGCGTTCTCCGGGGGTCCCTGCAGCACTTACCTTGTCCTTCGCTCCCGCGATGTGTCCCCTGCAGCGTCCCCGGCCATCTCCTCCGGCCGATGCTGGCATCTGGCTTCCGTGTGCTGGTCCCTGTGACATCGGGACGTACGGCGGGAAATTTGAAATTTTTAAAAAATGTAATTTTTGCTGTCATTGCTGTTTCAATGCATTTCACATACATTTTGTCCCGAGTGCTTTGTCCTGCGCCCTGCCGGCATTTTGACTGTTCTTTCTGCCTGGAAACTTAGAGAAGTCCATGGTGTCCAAAAAGCGTCCCTTTACGTCAAAAGCGGTTTTAGAACCGCGATAGTAAATCAGAACCACTTGCAGAATTGAGTGATAATGATTCGTGGGGAAATTCGTCATCAGACACTGAAAACGATTTTGCGACTTTGCTCAGCGATGTGCGAATTTGCCTCTGTATTTCAAATTTCAGTGTTTTTGGTTTGATTATATTATTGAATTAAATTTATTTTTATTATATTATTATTTTTTATGATTATTTATTAAATTATAACTTATGATTTTGTGTTTCAAGTTTTATCATATCCGGAATGTTTACTAGACTCTTGTTCGGACAGATTTCAGTGAGTTATTTCTAAAATTTACAGCCTACAATAAAAAACTACATATTTCCATGCAAAAAAATGTACCGCTTTCAGAACAAAAAATCGGGAAGAATCATACCGCCGAGGAGGTTAAGGCCCAGACACCGAGAGACCGCATATTTGTGTGCACTCGGCGTCTAGGGGTTAATCGAACAAGCTAAAGTTAGAATCTGATTGGCTACTGTGCACAGCTGCACCAGATTTTGAACTCTCAGGTTTTAGTAAATTCCTCCCAATATCTTTATGGGGCTGGCTTTATGGCACAGTCATGCTGGAATTGAAAAGAACCTGCCCCAAACAGTTGCCACAAAATTTGAAGTGCACAATTGCCTAAAATGGCTTTGTATGTTGTAGCATTAACAGTATCCTTCACTGGAAACATCTGAACTCAAAAATTTGAAGGGTTGTTCATATTCTTTTGGCTATATAGTGTAAATGGCCCCTTAACGATGTGAGATGAGTGCTGATGCAATTTTGTTCTGTTTCACTTAGTCTGCCCCTTAGGATCATACGGAGAAAATTGTGTGAACAAATGCAGATGCCAGAATGGAGCAGAATGCGATCATATGAATGGGAAGTGTTCCTGCCTGCCTGGATATATTGGTCCCTTCTGTGATATTAGTAAGTAAATCTAAAAACAATTGGCCATCTGTAAAGTGCATCATTAAATGGAACCAGAATCATTTTATTGACTAGTACTACACATTGTGATCATTAATGTTAATTTTGTTTGATAAGCATCCTTGATGTGACTTGGAGGCTAGTATACAAAGAAGAGTGGTTTTCCCAGATAAAGGTCTACAAAGATAGAATTGTGTAACTGCAGAGTTTTTTTTTTTTTATTATTAATATCTTTTATTAAATTTTATTTCACTACAAATTAAAACAGTACACAATTTATCATAACATAAACAGTTTAGCTGTCCTATTTCTAAACCCTCTCAGCTACCCAACCCAACCCCCCTATCCCCATAATTACCCCATAATTACTGTCAATCTATTTCTACAGATCTTTCTAAACCTCTCTACTAAACACCTATGGTTAGTCTACATCAGGGGTGTCAAACTGGCGCCCTCCAGCTGTTGCAAAACTACAAGTCCCATCATGCCTCTACCTTTGGGAGTCATGCTTGTAACTGTCAATCTTGCAATGCCTCATGGGACTTGTAGTTTGGCAACAGCTGGAGGGCCTCCAAGTTGACACCTGTGGTCTACATGATTACCACTCTCCAGTTATTCAGCTTAAATCTCTAAATCAACCTACTTGGTACCCATTATCCTGAGATATTTTTCTGATGATTTAAAAACATACCACATTCTCCATTCTTTTCTAAATGTTCTCATTTTATCTTCATTGATGTGGTATAACTCATCCATCATATTTATATATTCAGTCCTCCTCATCCAATCTCTCATTGTTGGAGGATCTGGAACCTGCCATAATTTAGGGATTAATCCTTCTGCAGCATTATTTAAATGATATATTAAACTATTTTTATACTGTTTTATTGACAACTCAGTCCCATAGAACAAACAACCCATGGGTCCTTTTAGATTGTTATCCCCACCATCTCCCGTATACATTGAATTACCTCTTGCCAAAACCCCTGAATTTTTATAGAATCCCACCAAATGTGAGTCATAGTCTTTCTTTTCCAACATAGAGACATTTCTTCTCTCTGTTTATGTGCCTGCAGAGTTTCTTTTGTCCTAAATGAATCTAACCAGACCAGGGGCGGACTGACCATTTGGAAACTCAGGCACTGCCTGAGGGCCCGGGGTCAGTAGGGGGCCCCATGAGATGCCCCTGGTACCTTTTTCATAGACTTTTTTGAATTTGGGCAAGGACACAGGGGCCCCATGATCTCCTATTGCCCGGGGGCCCCATGAGTTGTCAATCCGCCCCTGAACCAACCTGATATGCTGATTCTAGACCACTGACACCCAATATGGCCAAACACTCATCCTGTCATTTTCTGCACCACTGACATCTTGAGGCTGGCACTGGATGTGATCTGGGCTTGAGAAATACTTAGGAGAAAGTTTGCAAGAAAAAAAAAGATTTGAAGAAAGAATATGTAGTGTTTGCAGACCTATGTTAGCACTACTACTATGTTTTAAATTTCTCAAAAGTTATTACTTCAACTTCAAATACACCGGAGCTGGCAGTAGTCTTCCCATGCTACTCCATTCACTTTATGGACACTCAGTGAAAAGTCACCCAAGTATTTAAGGGACACGTCTTCTATTTATGCAAAGAGACCTCTACTAACAGCTTACTATGTTATACAAATTTTCTTAGACCCTTTTTTGTATTTACCTTTAAAGTGGTTCTAAAGGTAGAAGGTTTTTTACCTTAATACATTCTCTGTAATAGGATAAAGAACCTTCTGAGTTCTGCTCCCTCCTCAGCACCCTCTTATACTTACCTGAGCCTGATCTCGATCCAGTGATGTGTACAAGAGCCGCTGCTCTCTCTGCTTTCTCCCTTCTCACAGGCTCAGAGACAGCAGCAGGAGCCACTGGCTCCTGCTGCTGTCAGTCACAGCCGGTAAAGGAAGGAACAGGTGCTGAGCCATGTTCTGTATTTCAACGGACACACAGCTTAGGAGTGAGCCCACACAAGTGCCCCCATAGCAAGCACCTTACTATGGCAGAACTCAGCGAGGGACGAGCCAGGAGCACTGGAGGGGGATCCCAGAAGAGGAGGATCGGAAATGCTCTGTGCAAAATCACTGCACAGAGCAGGTAGGTATGACTAGTTTGTTATTTTTTTTTTATAAAAAAAAAAATATAGGCTTACAATCACTTTAAGATTTATATACAGTTGTGCTCAAAAGTTTACATACCCCAGCAGAAATTGTGAAATTTTGGCATTAATATTGAAAATATGACTGATCATGCCACAAAATTCTCTTTTATTGAAGGATGATGATCATATGAAGCCATTTATTATCAAATAGTTATTTGGCTCCTTTTTAAATCATAATGATAACAGAAATCACCCAAATGGCCAAAATCAAAAGTTTCCCTCCCCTGGAATGTTTGGCCTTGGTACAGACACACAAGGTGACACACACGGGTTAAAATGCCAATTAGAGGTTAATGTCCCACATCTGTGGCTTTTTAAATTGCAATTAGTGTCAGTGTATAAATAGTCAATGAGTTTGTTAGCTCTTACGTGGAAGCACTGACTAGGCTAGATACTGAGCCATGGGGATCAGAAAAGAACTGCCAAAAGTCCTGCGTAACAAGGTAATGGAACTTTATAAAGATGGAAAAGGACATAAAAAGATGTCCAAAGCCTTGAATATGCCAGTCAGTACTGTTAAATCACCTATTAAGAAGTGGAAAGTTCGGGGATCTCTTGATACCAAGCTAAGATCAGGTAGACCAAGAAAGATTGCAGCCACAACTGACAGAAGAATTGTCCGGGATTCAAAGAAAAACCCACAGGTAACGTCCAAACAAACACAGGCTGCTCTGGAAAAAGATGGTGTGGTTATTTTTAAGGAGTACAATACGGTGATACTTGAACAAAAATTAGCTGTTTGGTCGAGGTGCCAGAAAAAGGTTTTACTGCACCAATGCCACAAAAAAGCCTGGTTACAATATGCTTGACAACACCTTGACATGCCTAACCAGGCCTTTTTGTGTCATTGATGCAGTAAAGACGTCTTTCTGGCACCTCTACCATGCAGCTCATTTTTGTTGAAGTGTCACCATATTGTGCTCCTTCTAAACAAAAACACCATCTTTTACCAGAGCAGCCTGTATTTTTCTTGTGGTTACCTATGGGTTTCCTTTTGTATCCCAAACAATTCTTCTGGCAATTGTGGCTGCAATCTTTCTTGGTCTACCTGACCTTGGCTTGGTATCAAGAGATGCCCGAACTTTCCACTTCTTAATAGGTGATTTAACAGTACTGATTGGCATATTCAAGGTTTTGGACATCTTTTCATGTTCTTTTACATTACCTTGTTACGCAGGACTTTTGACAGTTTTTTTCTGATCCCCATGCCTCAGTATCTAGCCTAGTCAGTGCTTCCACATGAGAGCTAACAAACTCATTGACTATTTATACACTGACACTAATTGCAATTTAAAAAGCCACAGATGTGGGACATTAACCTCTAATTGGCATTTTAACCCGTGTGTGTCACTTGTGTGTCTGTACCAAGGCCAAACATTCCAGGGGAGGGAAACTTTTGATTTTGGCCATTTGGGTGACTTCTGTTATCATTATGATTTAAAAAGGAGCCAAACAACTATTTGATAATAAATGGCTTCATATGATCATCATCCTTCAGTAAAAGAGCATTTTGTGGCATGATATTTTCAATATCAATGCCAAAATTTCACAATTTCTGCCAGGGTATGCAAACTTTTGAGCACAACTGTATAACCAAAACTATTTCATTTCGGGGTAGAGTTGGGAAGGGTCACAACCTTTGCCAGGTAATCTTTTTCTGTCTACATACAATTGGGGAAATTTCCCTTCATTTCCTATCCTAGAGATGCATCAGAAAGTTAGA